ATCGAGAGAAATAGTAATGGCGTCTTTTTGTAGGCACTAATTCCGCCATGGTTCGTTCGTTGGACACAGCATATGAGGAAAATTAATGGCGTTTTTGTAGGGTTTTTGGATAAACGCCGAAAATACGGTCTGTGGTAAACACATGGTTTAAGAGATATTATACGTTTTGTTCTATGAGATAATCTTAATCATCTGTCACTTTTTTGTGAATTCATAAGGTCATGTTAACTGACTGCTATTATCTCATAGAACAAAACGTATAAAATCACCTAAGCCTGGGTTAACCTCAGACCTTATTTTCAGTGTTTATTCCAAAACCCTATTCTTTCCCCATTCATTTTTCACAAAGGGATGGCTGAAGGAAGCTGAGGTAGCTTAACTAATTTCAGGGTTTTAGGACTACAAGCTGGGGAGCTCTATGCCAGATCTGCACGAAACTTGATATGTGGCATCTATGGACAAAGGTCTCTCAATGCAATATTTACCTAAAACAACGTAACCAATAAACATGCACATGGGCGTGGTCTGGCACAAATGCATATAAATTTGTCAAGGATATTCGTATTGTAACAGTTTGGCAAGAACATTCATATCGACCACACGGTGGCACTATTACGGGCACATGTTTATATCTCGATCTGTTCGACTCAACAGTGCTGAAATTTGGTAAACATCCTCAGGGATTAGAGTCTAGCTAACCAACGTGATCTCAGACACCACTGGCCAGATTTTGACAAAACTTGGGTGACTGATGCATCTTGCCTTAGCGATCCATCATTTACAAAATTACACTGTTTGGCCCAAGGGGGGCACTGAATCATTCATAGGGGATGACATGTTTACTGTTGCCTTGTTTTTGCATGCATTTAACTTAATTATAGGTTCTTTACAAGGTTGTGTTCAGAGCAGCCTACAGCGAATACCAATCAAATGTGATTAGCCTTCCCTGCTCTGCCTATTTGCCAAACGTCTCTCTCTCAATTCCAGCAGAGGTGAGCATGGCCTTTTCTGCCAAATAATTGTGTCACTAGTGAATGAAGATCAGAACGCTTTTAATCCATATACACACAAAATGAACAAATTAGCAAAAAGCAATCAATATTTTGATCAAATGAAAATGTATTTACGATATTCTGAAAGTATTTTATGAATATATACCAGTTATCACATTTCCTACATACAGTGCCTTCAGAAAGTATTCACAATCCCGAAGTATTCACGGTACCCAGTCACTAGAAAGATACATGCGTCCTTCCTAACTCAGTTGCCAGAGAGGAAGGAAACCGCTCAGGGATTTCACCATGAGGCCAATGGTGATTTTAAAACAGTTACAGAGTTTAATGGCTGTGATAGGAGAAAACTGAGGATGGATCAACATCATCGTAGTTACTCCAGTTTGTAAAGAATACAAATATTTCAAAACATGCATCCTGTTTGCAATAAGGCACTAAAGTAAAACTGCAGAAAATGTGGCAAAGAAATGTACTTTATGTCCTGAATACAAAGCATTATGTTTGGGGCAAATCTAATACATCACTGAGTACCACTCTTCATATTTTCAAGCATGGTGGTGGATGCATCATGTTATGGGTATGCTTGTCATCAGCAAGAACTAGGGAGTTTTTTTAGGATAAAAATAAACTAAATAAAGCTAAGCACAGGCAAAATCGTAGAGGTAAACCTGGTCCAGTCTGCTTTTCAACAGACACTGGGAGACATATTCACCTTTGAGCAGGACAATAACCTAAAACACAAAGCCAAATATACACTGGAGTTGCTTACCAAGACAACATTGAACATTTCTGAGTGGCCTAGTTACAGTTTTGACTTAAATAGTCTTGAAAACCTATGGCTGTCTAGTAATGATCAACAACAAACTTGACGGCGCTCGAATAATTTCTTTAAGAATAATGTGCAAATATTCTACAATCCAGGTGTGCAAAGCTTTTAGAGACTTACCCAGAAAGACTCACAGCTGTAATCGCTGCCAAAGGTGATTCTAACATGTACTGACTCAGGGGTGTGAATACTTATGTAAATGAGATATTTCTGTATTTCATTTTCAATAAATGTGCATACATTTCTAAAAACATGATTTCACTTTGTCATCATGGTATTGGGTGTAGATGGTTAGGAAAAAAAATACATATCATCCATTTAGAATTCAGGCTGTAACAACAAAATGTGGAATATGTAAAGGGGTATGAATACTTTCTGAAGGCACTGTAACTGAGTAAAAGAAAATATAGAATACCCTTTGTCCCTTATTTAAGCAAAATCCTATAATAGACATTTACTCTGGAAAGGCTGAACTAGGTAAAAAAAAAAAAAAAAAAAAAGTGATACATGTATTGAAAGTGTAATGAGTTCATTCACGTAAAGTGCTTGCACAATCTAGTTGAAAATACAGTGAAATCGTAGCATTTCCCTATTAAAGTAGGATGGCATGGAATTATATATTGCACAGGTGAATCATTTAAAGGCACAAACCCAAAAAGCACAGGTAGTTACTCTAACACATTTTTTAATATTTGCATGAAGCCAGGGGTTTCAAAGAGAAACTCTTACTGCCATACCGTGAAGGACTCAGTATTTCCAAGTTTAAAAATACCTAACATGCATCAATCTCATAACAGACAAAAAAAAAGAAGAAGAGACATGTAGCTACAGATCATGAAGCAATGGGCAGAGGGGTGGGGCAGAGCATGTAAGAAATAGTAATGTCACAAGCATACAGTAGGTGGAGGCAGTCCCTCATTTTGGGATTTACCTTAATAAATAAACAAGTGCTAAACCAAATGTACATGTACAATCAATTAGCAACAATGGGTGCGTTTAGACAGGCAGCCCACTTCTGATATTTTTTCCACTAATTGGTCTTTTGACCAATCACATCAGATCTTTTCACATCAGGTCTTTTTCAGAGCTGATCTGATTTGTCAAAAGACCAATTAGTGAAATCAATATCAGAATTGGGCTGCCTGTCTAAACGCATCCAATGAGACACGAAAATCTATATTTAGAACCTGGAATGTTCCTGAATCTTATGCTCTCCTCCGCTTGGCGAGGAAAACTGAGGATTGATCGAGAGACATTAACATTCTATGCTTATGATTTAAAGTAACTGTCCAGTGGAAATCACACTTTTAAAAGTTCATATTCTGTTAACTCATACCTAAATAATGTTGTTGACTCATCCTATACTCGTATGTGGCCAAAGCATAAATTGGAGAAAAAAACACATCAAAAACTCTGCCTCAAACTTGTATCTCAAAGACCATTTACAAAATGCTTGCCATTTCCTTGTAGAGGATGAGCTGGCCAATCAGCGGTCTACTCGGAATAATATTTTTTATGACCGGTATAGTGGTGAGGAGTCGTCGCCTAATGTGTCCGGAAGAGACTTCGCCATTAATTTACTGTATTCAGGGTTCACTCAAACATTGTTTTAAGCTTTGTTTCACTATTGACAGTTACAGTTGATTTCGGGATTGTATATCGATTCGCTTTCCTTAAATATAAGTCATCTGAATTTCAGTCTCTGAATTGTTTAGTCAAACTTTGCCGCCAGCTCCTGATATCAGGACATAAAAACGACAATCTGTTTCCCGAATTAGCCTAGTGCACATGTGCGCACTAGGCCCGAGCTTGTTTTCCCTGGCTAAACTAGCTGGCTAGCTGAACTATGCTAGTTTTTGTCCTCATTGCCAAACTTCATTAATACTGCACCCTCCACTTCAAGACTCCTTTGCTAGTTAAACAATTATGTAACTCAGACATTTGCTGGATAGAAATGTCAAAATGATATGTTTTATTGTTTTGTTAAATAGTCTTGACTGGTTCGAGATATCTGTCGTAAGACGACGGTGGTGAAGGATATCGTTGCTACTTAACGCAGATCCAAGTTCAGTTTTGAGATTCACCAGCCTCATTGGCATAGGATTAGCTGGACGTTTCTGACTGGTCTTGGAACTGTGACAACGGCCAGCTTCTCCCAGCTTGGCTTGATGGGATATGTAGTGATTTTGCCAACACAGCCAGATATTTACAGTCTTGTACCCTTAAACTTTTTAAAAAAGATTGTTGATTACATTTTGGAAGGAAAAAAAAAAAACCTATATTGTAATCAATTATAGGTCATATTTGATAGAAATCGGGAAACACTGGACAGTTACTTTAAATAAAATCAATGTTTAGAAGACACATACCAGAAGTACAACTGAGCTTTGAATAGCAGTGTAAAAATAATTTGTAATAGCAGTGTAAAAATAATTTGTAATAGCAGTGTAAAAATAATTTGCCATGCAACAAATACTATCAGAAAATTTGTAAAGCAGCAAACCTTATCAGAAAATGACATACTTAGGGTTGCAAAAATCCAGTAACTTTCGCCAAATACCCTGGTTTTCCACAAAACCCGGCATCCTCCAACCAGGATTTCTGGAAAACCTGGGGATTTTGGGAAAGTTTCCAGATTTTTGCAACCCTACTTATACTAATACACGAACTACTGCATTATTGTACGTTTCGAAATCGAAGGGTCTTTCAAACTGAATTTGCATATCGCCTCTAGAACTTCTGTTGTCATAAAACCCCATTAAAGGACAGTAGTCTAATCCCAATAACCTGTGGGTGTTAAATTAGCATATCGAAACAATTTAAAATAAGTAACTGATCAAGTGATACATTGACTGAAGTAATTAAACCTCAAGAAACTTAATCAAATAAATTATATTATTAAAAGTACAATTAAATTCAGATCAGAATGAAACTAGACAGTATCATTTCCAAACTCAGACAGTAGTAGTGCATCGAAGGATTGATATAAGTCGAGCCCTCTTTTCCTATGAATAATCTCAGACCCACATTCCTGGTTTCCCTTGCTTTATGACCACAGGAAACAACATATTCGAATGTAATTGATTGTGGCGCAAGTCCCATTAGCCAAGCTCCAGTGCTTGGAGTGAGCATGCTTTTCATATCAAGGGTTCCCGTTGGTTTCATGAGTTGCCCTCAAAGGCAAGGTTGTCATAATGGGGCTGGACGATGTCCACCTGGATTGACCCTGGGCCAGGATGGCGCCCCAACGCTGCAACAGGAACATCATTACCAGTCAGTCAAGCCCCACATGTGCTGCTAGAAAACAGTACAAAAACCAGCCTGCTGGTCAATATTTACTTTGGCACAATCACTCATACAGATGTCAATGGATAGGCAAGCTAAATAGAGATGAGGGAGACGGAAAGGAGGCACTTTAACCCCAGACAGTAACAACAATACTAGTTGTTTGATCAGGGATAGACTTTGTAGTGGACTTGTTGATATCTACTTGCAGCAATCAAACTAACTAAACAAAAATAGTATTTGAAAAATTCATTAATGGGAATATCTAACCACTATAATTCAAATATGGGTGGCAAAATTCACACGGTATGTCTTGAGCAAGGGCTTCAGGACATATTATCGAGCTAACGTGAAAGCCAGCATCTTCCAAAGAACCCACACAGAGGTACCACTACCAACTGAACAAAATGACTCCCCCTTATCTCTATAGACAACGCTTATTATGTGAAAAAGCTATCAAAAACTATTTTGTGTGTCTTACTCTCATACATGTGTGTATCTTCTGCTGGGCTGCTGGGCTCCTCTGTACCCTGTACAGAGGCATAGCCTGAGGAGGCTGTCTCACTCCGGGTGTCCTCTGAGACTGGGACCCTGGGGTAGGACCTTGTGTTTGGCTGCATGGTCAACTGATGACTGGGCTGGTCCACCTCCGGCTGCTGCTCAGGGGGATTGAGTTGGATAGATGAATATCATCACTTTCTTAAAAACAAAGCCATTTCAGGTCCCACTACAGGTTTCAACTTGCAACCCTTGAGAACAGCAATCTAGCATGTTTGCCTATTCTTCTTAAACAATAACCACTAGCAGTGTAAATGCTATGTTTAATCTAAAACAGTCTTTAATCAAGAACTTCAGTGAATGACAGTCAAAGTTTATTTCAAAGTACTGTGTCATGCTGCAAGGTGCAGTTGCCTACCTCTACTCCCAAGGCCATGAGGATGTCACATTTACACATGGGGCAGGTCCTGTGCTCCAATAGCCAGGGCTCAATGCAGGTCTTGTGGAAGAAATGACTGGAAAGTTAAACAAAAGAAACAAATAAGAATAATGATGACAATCACACAATGAAGGCAGTTGGAATAGCAGACCGGGTAGGCCTACTCTACTCCATTTGTCAATATTAAACAATTAATTAAACAAGCTAAAAGCCGCTGTAGTTTGGTACATACTTGCAGGTGAGCATGGTCAGCACGTCGCCAGACTTGTAAGCGTCAATACACACTGCACAGGTGTCAGCATCAGGCCCAGTCTCCTGAAAGACAGGTTTAAAAATACATTGTAGTGGCACTGAGCATACATTGGGGGTGTGAACGTTTAAAACTATTGTTGCACGGTATACCGGTACCACGGTAATATCACGGTACCAAAACACCATGATACTTACGATAACAACATTTTTGAATACCGTAGTACAGTTTCATATGATTCTACCGACATTTTCAGCCCTACCGATCTAAAAGAACCTGCTGGCACCTGTTATAAAATGTTTAAAGTCCGTTTTGTTAATACATTCAGGTGAATTTAAGCAACAGCCACTAGTCTCTTGTATGCACAGGTCCATTAATATCCACTTCACATTCATGCGCATATCACTTGTGGCAGTGTATCAGCCAGCTGCATCCCCTACCAGCCCTCAAAGGCACTGCATGGTCAATCGGCATCTGCATTGGCCGTGCAGCATTTACAGTGATACGGCCTCTGCAGAAGTGTGAATTTCAGTGACAGGTTTTTGGAGAATGTTTAGAAAACGTGAACAAGCGTCCGGGGGACGGGGCGAACAGGATGCTAGGCACCTGATTTTTTTCCACCGTGGTATCGCGATACTACTTGGTATCGTGATACTTGGCCTGGTATCGTATTGTTTGTAAAATGTTGATATCGTGACAAGTCTAAACGTTCAAACGAAATTGGGATGTTAACATTAAGAAAAAAAATCCCTAACCAATTTATTTTTATTTTTTTGGGACAAAATTAAAATCACAGTGCAGTTATTACAGAACTACCACTAACAGGTCGCAATCATTATCAGAAAGGGAAAAATACAAAATACCTAACGCAACAATGCTCTAACGTTGGCTGAGAAAAATGGCTGAGAAAGGCAAGCGAAAGCAGCAAACAGCCTGCTCTGCCCCAAGTCAGTACAGCATCGAGTCTGCTGCTGCACTGTGCTTTTAGCTGACCCAACATTACAACGTAGCGATTGGTGCTTTGGAAACATACTGAAGTATGGACTGGCTGCTAGGAACATGTCTACAACTTCATCAGCAAGCTGTCAAACTAGCGTAAATAAGATGCAAGAAGGGCTGGGAATTGCCAGGGACTTCACGATTCAATATCACAATACTTATTTGCCGATACGATATGTATTGTGATTCTCACGATTCTATATGTATTGCAATTCGATACTGCGGTTTTGTTGCAGGAGACAATTTTGGAATATTGATAAGTTGGGACGTCGAGTGCGCATCGTCTCAATGCTCATTTTGGCCAAAGCACTTGCAGACTCGAGTGGGGCCAAGTGTTAGGTTGAGATTCAGCCTATGACTCTGCTGCAGAGAGACAAGAGAGAGCATGAGAAAACAAGTTATCTGTCAGGGAAATAAAAGTTTGAAAATATGTTGTCTCACTATTTAATAAGAAGATGGAGAACAAGCTATAGGATGAAAAATTCTGGAGTTTTGGCGCAGGTACAGCCAAGTAGCAAATAAATTATATCGATAAAATTGTCAAAACATATTGCGATATGTAACTATCTATTTTTTTCCCCGATCACTAGAGACAAGCTACACACTGTTTATCTGTGCAGTGCCCATCATCCTTAGCAAGCTAGCTGATTTCATATGTTTTATTTCATAGTTGATGTCTTCACTATTATTCTACAATATAGAAAAAATAAAAAAAAATAAAGAAAAACCCTTGAATGGTAGGTAGTAGTAGTAGAGAGATGTCATTTTGTTTTTACAACTTTCTCACTGTCTGTCAGAGTACACGTCTGTGTTTGCCCCAGTGCCCGTATTTCATAGCGAGCGAGTCATGCACAAGACCAGTCGCGGGAGACAATTTTGGAATATTGATAAGTGGCAGTTGGGACGTCGAGTGCGCATCGTCTCAATGCTCATTTTGGCCAAAGCACCGGCAGACTCGAGTGGGGCCAAGTGTTAGGTTGAGATTCAGCCTATGACTGCAGTAGATAGAACTTCCTTTCCCCCTAGCGGTCATACGCAATAGGACCACCATACGTAATAGGACCATATTCTGCATTGTGAATTCACATGGAAATTTCTTATAGTTTTAACGGAAAACCGATTAAAAAAAAGGCAGTTTAAACGTTAAGAAAATGTTTCCATTCGTCACATCCCTAGCATACATACAGGTAGTCTTCATAAGAGCCTGTGGTCCTAGGCAACCACTATGTGTGCATTTTTCAGGAATGGAAAATTTGATACTAATTACCATGGTTTCTGGGGAAAAACAGACAGTCAGTTCCCCATAGACGTGTTGGTTGTTAAGCAACAAAACCGACGTGTGTGCAACTATGGGGCAAAACAGACAGGGTTGGCTTAGATTGTTGACAACATGTAAAATATATTTCATCTCCAAGAAATTTGCTTAACAAGTCACGTAATCAGTTGCATGGACTCACTCTGTGTGCAATAATAGTGTTTAACATATTTTTTAATGACTACCTCATCTCTGTACCCCACACATACAATTATCTGTAAGGTCCTCAGTTGAGCAGGGAATTTCAAACACAGATTCAACCACAAAGACCAGGGAGGTTTTCCAATGCCTCGCAAAGAAGGGCACCTATTGGTAGATAGGAATATCCCTTTGAGCATGGTGAAGTTATTAATTACACTTTGGATGGTGTATCAATACACCCAGTCACTACAAAGATACAGGCGTCCTTCCTAAGTCAGTTGCCGGTGAGGAAGGAAGCTGCTCAGGGATTTCACCATTGGCCAATGGTGGCTTTAAAACAGTTACAGAGTTTAATGGCTATAATAGGAGAAAACTGAAGATGGATCAACAACATTGTAGTTACTCCACAATACTAACCTAATTGACAGAGTGAAAAGAAAGAAGCCTGTACAACAGGGGTGTCAAACTCAATCAGCGCACGGCCCATATTGAAAGAACAACGAATTTGCAGGCCAGACAAATAAACATGCATATAACTGCGACCCAAACTGGCCATTCTTTTATTTGAAAAGATATGGCCCTTTATGTCTACTTATGAACATATTAAAACAAAATATATAAATAATATTTGTCCAGCCTTTGCTACTATGCTTGCAGATGTGCATAATATGCTGCGACCCTAATTAAAGTATTTAATAACTCCAAATAACAAATACGTAGCTAGGTTGTTGTAACATTTAAACGTAAAACATGTTTAAAAAATGTTTTGCACTGCATGGATTTGCATGGTGTTTTGTTGCACGTTTAGTTTTTTGGTTATTCATTGTCAAGCTTTAAAAACCGAAGCCATACTGCAACATTTTAGTAGCCTAGCTAGGACTGTGGCATGTGTCTGTACACTTTCCCTCCGCTGCGTGCTGTAAACGAGACACAGGAAAGCAGCGCAATTGACATTGAATTCACTGATGCGAGCGCACCAGGCTGTAATTTCATAAAGTAGATGACTCAACTGTTGACTAATTTCTACTCGCTTGTGTGTCCTATTGTCCTTTAGTAGTAATGTATACCTGTGTGTGAATCCTTTATCTTACAACTTTTTGACAATCAAGATGACATTTTCTGTAGGCTAAACCAATGACCCATTAGAACTGAAACTTGGCATGGACATTTAGCCTACAACACCTTTAAACTTTCGGTCAGTGGCATTAGCGATGATATGATACAGTGCACTGGCTGGCTCGTGTGAGGGTGTGTGTGTGGGTCTGGGTCTGGGAGGAGGGGTGTGTGTGTGGCAATGCACTGCCGTTTGGCGTGCAGCACGTTGGCAGTGCTTGCTGTGAATTGTTGTGCAGCGCATCGGGGGCAGTATGGAATGGGCCAAAATGAATTGACAACCCAAATCATTGCGCAGGCCTTGTGATTGACACGTGCTGTACAGAATAAAAACATTCCAAAACATGCATCCTGTTTGCAACAAGGCACTGAAGTAACACTGCAAAAAAATTGGCAAAGCAATTAACTTTTTGTCCTGAATACAAAGTGTTATGTTTGGGGCAAATCCAATACAACACATTACTGAGTACCACTCTCCATATTTTAAAGCACAGTGGTGGCTGCATCATGTTATGGGTATGCTTGTAATTGTTAAGGACTGGGGAGTTTTTCAGGATAAAAATAAACGGAATGGAGTTAAGCACAGGCAAAATCATAGAGGAAAAGCTGGTTCAGTCTGCTTTCCACCAGACACTGGGAGATTAATTGACCTTTCAGCAGGACAATAACCTAAAACACAAGGCCAAATCTACACTGGAGTTGCTTAGCAAGAAGACCGTGAATGTTTGTGAGTGGCCGAGTGACAGTTTTGACTTAAATCTACTTGAAAATCTATGGCAAGACCTGAAAATGTTTGTCTAGCAATGACAATTTGACAGAGCTTGAAGAATTTTGAAAATAATAAATGGGCAAATGTTACACAATCCAGGTGTGGAAAGCTCTTAGAGACTTACCCAGTAAGACTCACATCTGAAATCACTGCCAAAGGTGATTCTAACATGTATTGACCCAGGGGTGTGAATACGTATGTAAATTAGATATTTCTGTATTTCATTTTAAAATAAATTAGCAAACATTTCTAAAAACATGTTTTCACTTTGTCATTATGGGATATTGTGTGTAGATGGGTGAGAAAAATATATATCTAATCCATTTTGAATTCAGGCTGTAACACAACAAAATGTGGAATCAGTCAAGGGGTATGAATACTTTCTGAAGGCACTGAAGTATGGAGCACTTAAACGCTTAATAAAAATGGAGGGCAAATTTGTGTTTAAGGTAATATAAACCATATTGCTAATAATATGTTTACCATCAGTTGGTAGAGCATGGCGCTTGCAACGCTAGGGTTGTGGGTTCGATTCCCACGGGGGGCCAGTATGAAAAAAAGTAATATATATATATATATGCACTCACTATCTGTAAGTCGCTCTGGATAAGAGCTACAGTATCCTATTTGACAGTTTAGGCTTGCACTTCTATAAATACTGTATATCTTCATTACCCACCCTAATCATCAAATCTGCTAATTAAACTGTAAAGGTCTGAAAATGGTTACTTGTTTTACTTTATTTATTTTGTAATACCTTAAGACCTAAAAAATTTTGCAGCTTAAGAGACTTCATGTGTAAGGCTGCCATTCGCTGTTATGCTGCAACCCTGTATAGTGCAGGGCGGGGGAACCGGGAAGGGGTGGGGGTTATGGAAGGGGGTTGAATGGTTTACAAGGAGGATTTTCTGGGTGGGGAACGAACAATGGGTGAGTTTCCCAGTGGGTCCTGATTGTTGTTACACATCCATGTGCTTACAAACACTAAAGATAACAATTACATCATTAATATAACATTCATTTCTGAAAAACAATGGCAACACTAGCTATTCTCTCTTGGAATTTGAAAGGACTAAATTGTCCTATCAAACATTCCAGCTGTCTTGATATCCTAGCAAAAAAACATATGTGAAACATCACAGTACAGTTGAAAAAGATATGGCAAATAGAAATCCAATATGGATGGTGTTAAGAGATAGATGGGAGGTGTTGAATGGAGCTGAAGGATGGGACTAATAACAACAACTAATAACAACAAGATAACTAATGTAAAGCATACTGTGTCCATAATAAGTATATAGGTTATAGTTTGAGAGCTTTTGTGAAAGAGCACAGTAAGAAAGATATGACATATAGAAGCAAACCGGATGGACATCATGAAAATGATTGGAGAAGTTGAGCGTAGAGGAAGTTCAGGAGTAAAAACAAAATATAATTATTGTAAAATTGACTGTGTCCATAAAATGTATATAGTCGTTTAAGCTGGAAGTCGAGGCCTAAGCGTTGTTGTTCATAGTTTCATCATTATGGAAGGCGTGGTGGGGTTGGAAAGTAATCAAGTGAAATATATATGTATATACAGTGGGGAGAACAAGTATTTGATTACCTGCTGATTTTGCAGGTTTTCCTCTTACAAAGCATGTAGAGGTCTGACTTTTATCATAGGTACACTTCACTGTGAGAGCCGGAATCTAAAACAAAATCCAGAAATACATTGTATGATTTTTTAAAGAAGGTAATTCATTTGCTTTTATTGCATGACATAAGTATTTGATACATCATAAAGCAAACTATATTTGGTACAGAAACCTTTGTTTCAGTTTACAGCGATCATACGTTTCCTGTAGGTCTTGACCAGGTTAGCACACACTGCAGCAGGGATTTTGACCCACTCCTCCATACAGACCTTCTCCAGATCCTTCAGGTTTCGGGGCTGTCGCTGGGCAATACGGACTTTCAGCTCCCTCCAAAGATTTTCTATTGGGTTCAGGTCTGGAGACTGGCTAGGCCACTCCAGGACCTTGAGATGCTTCTTACGGAGCCACTCCTTAGTTGCCCTGGCTGTGTGTTTTGGGTCGTTGTCATGCTGGAAGAACCAGCCACGACCCATCTTCAATGCTCTTACTGAGGGAAGGAGGTTGTATGGCCAAGATCTTGCGATACATGGCCCCATCCATCCTCCCCTCAATACGGTGCAGTCGTCCTGTCCCCTTTGCAGAAAAGCATCCCCAAATAATGATTTTTCCACCTCCATGCTTCACAGTCGGGATGGTGTTCTTGGGGTTGTACTCATCCTTCTTCTTACTCCAAACACGGCGAGTGGAGTTTAGACCAAAAAGCTCTATTTTTGTCTCATCAGACCACATGACCTTCTTCCATTCCTCCTCTGGATCATCCAGATGGTCATTGGCAAACTTCAGACGGGCCTGGACATGCGCTGGCTTGAGCAGGGGGACCTTGCGTGCGCTGCAGGATTTTAATCCATGACGGTGTAGTGTGTTACTAATGGTTTTCTTCGAGACTGTGTTCCCAGCTCTCTTCAGGTCATTGACCAGGTCCTGCCGTGTAGTTCTGGGCTGATCCCTCACCTTCCTCATGATCATTGATGCCCCACAAGGTGAGATCTTGCATGGAGCCCCAGACCGAGGGTGATTGACCGTCATCTTGAACTTCTTCCATTTTCTAATAATTGCGCCAACAGTTGTTGCCTTCTCACCAAGCTGCTTGCCTATTGTCCTGTAGCCAATCCCAGCCTTGTGCAAGTCTACAATTTTATCCCTGATGTCCTTACACAGCTCTCTGGTCTTGGCCATTGTGGAGAGGTTGGAGTCTGTTTGATTGAGTGTGTGGACAGGTGTCTTTTATACAGGTAACGAGTTCAAACAGGTGCAGTTAATACAGGTAATGAGTGGAGAACAGGAGGGCTTCTTAAAGAACAACTAACAGGTCTGTGAGAGCCGGAATTCTTACTGGTTGGTAGGTGATTAAATACTTATGTCATGCAATAAAATGGAAATTAATTACTTAAAAATCATACAATGTGATTTTCTGGATTTTTGTTTTAGATTCCGTCTCTCACAGTTGAAGTGTACCTATGATAAAAATTACAGACCTCTACATGCTTTGTAAGTAGGAAAACCTGCAAAATCGACAGTGTATCAAATAGTTGTTCTCCCCACTGTATATTTGCGAGAAGAAGAAAAAACATATGGGGGATTGGAAGTGATGCAGACAATTACATTGATGGAAGTTACAATCTATCTGCAATATTAAAGCTGATCTACCCCCAAAAATGTTTTAATAAATAAAGAAATAAAGAAACCATATTGATGTAGCAATACTCCAAGAAACACACCTGCTCCATAAGCATGCACATAGAATGCAGACCCATTTGTACAAACTGGCTGCTTTTTCATCAGCCCCAAACAAAACTAAAGGTGAATGATACATAATAAACTCAAAATCACCATCTTAGGTAAAGGCGAAGACCAAGAAGGCAGAATCACTTTCAGTAAATGTATCCATAAAGGAAATAAAATGGCCTTTACTAATGAATGCCATTTTGGACATGCAGGACAAATCTAATAAGACTAACTACAATCCACACGCAACCAAAACGTAATTGATGCCTGGTGAGCACATAATCCAAATGCAAATGAGTACGCTTTCTACTCAAAAAGGCATAAAACATGCTCCCAAATCGATTTTATATTATTATCTACACCTGTATTTTCTAAAACTAAGAAAACAGAAATTTGACATATGGGCTCGTCCGATCCCCACGCCAACTACTGCCAATTAAAATGTCAGAATCTCATAAAAGAGCCACACGATGATGTTTCAACATTTCATTACTACAAAAACCTACACTCATAATCATCAATAAAAATTCAGCCGGTGACCCCCGGATTCTATGGGATGCCACCAAAGTTTTTACTAAAACTAATGCAACTGCATTTGCATTTGGGTTGAATAAATCACAATTAAAGAAAATATCAGAATTGGAAATGTTAACTGCGTTAGAGCTTTCTCAACAAACACTTTTTTCAGACCAAGTAGCTAGCCCTCTTTCCAAGTCAAGACAGAACTTACATTTATTGACAAGACAGAGAGCAGAATTTGACATCCATCGAGTTAGACTCAACCATTACTTTCATGGTAATTGTCCAAGTCATTTACTGGCCAACAAGCTACGCAGTAATGATCAATTAGCTGATGTACAGTGCATTTGGAAAGTATTCAGACCCCTTGACTTTTTCCACATTTTGTTATGTTACAGCCTTATTCAAAAATTGATTACATTAAATGTTTTCCTCAATCTACACACCATACCCCATAATGACAAAATGAAAACAAGTGTTTATATTGTTTTTGCAAATGTATTAAAAATAAAAAAAACAGAAATACCTTATTTACATAAGTATTCAGACCCTTTGCTACGAGACTCGAAATTGTGCTCAGGTGCATCCTGTTTCCATTGATCATCCTTGAGATGTTTCTACAACTTGATTGGAGTCCATCTGTGGTTAAATTCAATTGATTGGACATGACTTGGAAAGGCATACACCTGTCTATACAAGGACCCACAGTTGACAGTGCATGTCAGAGCAAAAACCAAGCCATGAGGTCGAAGGAATTGTCCGTAGAGCTCAGAGACAGGATTGTGTCGAGGCACATATCTGGGGAAGGGTACCAAAAAAAATCTGCAGCATTGAAGGTCCCCAAGAACACAGTTGTCTCCATCATTCTTAAATGGAATAAGCTGGGAACCACCAAAACTCTTCCTAGAGCTGGCCGCCCGGCAAACTGAGCAATCGGGTGAGAAGGGCCTTGGTCAGGGAGGTGACCAAGAACCCGATGGTCACTCTGACAGAGCTCCAGAGTTCCTCTGTGGAGATGGGAGAACCTTCCAGAAGGACAACCATCTTTGCAGCACTCCACCAATCAGGCCTTTATGGTAGAGTGGTCAGACAGAAGCCACTCCTCAGTAAAAGGCACATGACAGCCCACTTGGAGTTTGCCAAAAGGCACCGAAAGGACTCTCAGACCATAAGATACAAGATTCTCTGTTCTGATGAAACCAAGATTGAACTCTTTTGCCTGAATCCCAAATGTCACGTCTGGAGGAAACCTTGCACCATCCCTACGGTGAAGCATGGTGATGGCAGCATCATGCTGTGGGGATGTTTTTCAGCAGCAGGGACTGGGAGACTAGTCAGGATTGAGGGAAAGATGAACGGAGCAAAGTACAGATAATCCTTGATGAAAACCTGCTCCAGAGCTCTCAGGACCTCAGACTGGGTCGAAGGTTCACCTTCCAACAGGACAACGACCCTAAACACACAGCCAAGACAACGTAGGAGTGGCTTCTCTGAATGTCGCTGAATGTTCTTGAGTGGCACAGCCAGAGCCCGGACTTGAACCCGATCGAACATCTCTGGAGAGACCTGAAAATAGCTGTGCAGTGACACTCCCCATCCAACCTGACAGAGCTTGGGAGGATCTGCAGAGAAGAATGGGAGAAACTCCCCAAATACAGGTGTGCCAAGCTTGTTGTGTCATACCCAAGAAGACTCAAGGCTGTAATCTCTGCCAAAGGTGCTTCAAAAAGTACTGAGTAAAGGGTCTGAATACTTATGTAAATGTGATATTTCAGTTTTGTATTTTTAATACATTTGCAAACATTTCTAAAAAACAGTTTTTGCTTTGTCATTATGGGGTATTGTGTGTAGATTGATGAGGGGAAAAAACAATTTAATACATTTTAGAATAAGGCTGTAACGTAACAAAATGTGGAAAAAGTCAAGGGGTCTGAATACTTTCCGAATGCCCTGCAGCAACTATTGAATCTGAAACAGGGGAATTACTATCATAACCCAAATTAATCAAAGATTCTCCCACTTCTATAAAGAACTGTACACTTCTGATTGTAAATCAGGAATTACTATCATAACCCAAATTAATCAAAGATTCTCCCACTTCTATAAAGAACTGTACACTTCTGATTGTAAACTCTTCTCTCAACAGAGGAAGCCACCTCGCTGGGAGCCCAAATCTCTCTCAATGAACTCAAAAGAGCATTGGATAGCATGAATAAAGGCAAATCACCTGGATGGGATGGTATTCCCCCTGAGGTCTATTACATTTTTTTGAATCAATTAGATCCACTATTGCTTGAAAGTATTGACACTAGAACCGCCAAAACGGTCCATCTGACTGTTTTCAATTTTGTAATTTCAATAACTTTAATTTCAATAAAATCCTTGAAACCACCTGTCCCTGACTTCTCCTAAATATGTGTATTTTACACTCTAGCAGTACTTTGAGATAAATATAATAAAATGCAAAAACTTTGAGCATTTCATCCTCACAACGCCATGACGGTCAAAATTCCGGTATGCAAATTTAACAGTAGAATAGCCAGGCCTCGAGGAGTACCAATAGCTGCCAGTCTAATAAATCAATTTTTTAACTAGAAAAGCCTGGCCTCGTTGGACCCCCCTTTGTGACAATGTCATTTGGTTGTGTTTATGAAGGTCTTCGGTAACATTAGAATACGAAATTAAAATATTTGAAGAACATAACCTGTTCATTAGTTTGTTACTGTAGGCTATATGTGACGCGCTCTATCATAGTCAGAAATCGCTATGGCTAATTTGCATATACATGGTGTTGTCAATTTAGATTTATCGCTGTTTGGGGGGTTTATCTGGTTTTAACAAAACAATGTCTTGGCTTTCATGATCTGTATGTCTTATTGCCAAATTCTGAGTATAAATATAGTTTTTTATCTTATAAACGTAGGATGAAACATAACAGAGCACTTTCACATCAGTTCGGTGGATGCTAGCTTGTAACACATCACATCAGGCTTTCGGGGGACCATCTTACCTGCACAATCAAAACCCTCCACTATTCCAAAATCATGAATTAATTACAAACTAGCTAGCTATACATTTTGAATCAAGCTGCAATAGGCTATTCAACCGGATGAGTTTCCTGTTTGCTCAATCAAAGCTACTGTAGTGTATCATCCGCGGGGAAACAAAAATTTTACCTCAGGCTACACTGTCCCTCTCTCGCTCTTCAGATCTGTCAAAAACCCATCATACATACAGTGGCTTGCGAAAGTATTCACCCCCTTGGCATTTTTCCTATTTTGTTGCCTTACAACCTTGAATTTAAATTGATTTTTTGGGGGTTTGTATCATTTGATTTACACAACATGCCTACCACTTTGAAGATGCTAAATATTGGGTTGAAACAAACAAGAAATAAGACAAAAAAACTGAAAACTTGAGCGTGCATAACTATTCACCCCCCCTTAAAGTCAATACTTTGTAGAGCCACCTTTTGCAGCAATTACAGCTGCAAGTCTCTTGGGGTATGTCTCTATAAGCTTGGCACATCTAGCCACTGGGATTTTTGCCCATTCTTCAAGACAAAACTGCTCCAGCTCCTTCAAGTTGGATGGGTTCCGCTGGTGTACCGCAATCTTTAAGTCATACCACAGATTCTCAATTGTATTGAGGTCTGGGCTTTGACTAGGCCATTCCAAGACATTTAAATGTTTCCCCTTAAACCACTCAAGTGTTGCTTTAACAGTATGCTTAGGGTCATTGTCCTGCTGGAAGGTGAACTTCCGTCCCAGTCTCAAATCTCTGGAAGACTGAAACAGGTTTCCCTCAACATTTTCCCTGTATTCCTTCAATTCTGACCAGTTTCCCAGTCCCTGCCAATGAAAAACATCCCCACAGCAGGATGCTGCCACCACCATGTTTTACTGTGGGGATGGTGTTCTCGGGTGATGAGAGGTGTTGGGTTTGGGCCAGACATAGCGTTTTCCTTGATGGCCAAAAAGCTCAATTTTAATCTCATCTGACCAGAGTACCTTCTTCCATATGTTTGGGGAGTCTCCCACATGCCTTTTGGCGAACACCAAATGTGTTTGCTTATTTTGTTCTTTAAGCAATGGATTTTTTCTGGCCACTCTTCCGTAAAGCCCAGCTCTGTGGAGTGTACGGCTTAAAGTGGTCCTATGGACAGATACTCCAATCTCCGCTGTGGAGCTTTGCAGCTCCTTCAGGGTTATCTTTGGTCTCTTTGTTGCCTCTCTGATTAATGCCCCCATTGCCTGGTCCGTGAGTTTTGGTGGGCGGCCCTCTCTTGGCAGGTTTGTTGTGGCAGGTTCGTCTCCATCAGCGACTCTGCAGACACCACAGATAGCGCAGACACCACAGATAGCACAGACACCAACTCAGATGAGCTCACCGAAGTCGAGGCCGAGCCCCTTGAGGTGGGAACCGAGGAAGACCACCTGTTAATGTTGGATCTGTCAATTACGGTCCTTCAGTCGGTCGAAGGGGAATGTCAGTAATGCTGGACCAGAAATTTTAAAGGCTAACGAGTTCACCTGAAGAGAAGCCCTGCTATTTGCTTTTTACCCCCAAGGAGATGGTCAAGAGACATGACCAGATTAATCAACTCATTAATGGTACAGTAAGTGCTTGCCATTCATCTATTAGTCAAGTTTAGTTGGATGTGAGTGAGTAATGTGTGTGTGTTTCCAGTGGTGGAAAAAATACCCAATTGTCATACTTGAGTAAAAGTGAAGATCCTTGAGTCATTTTCTATTAAGGTAAAAGTGAAGTCACCCAGTAAAATACTAATTGAGTAAAAGTCTAAAAGTATTTGGTTTTAAATATACTTAAGTATGGAAAGTAAATGTATTTGCCTAAATATACTTAAGTATCAAAAGTTAAATATAAATCATTTAAAATTCCTTATATTAAGCAAACCAGACAGCACCATTTTCTTGTTTTTTTACTTTCCGATAGCTAGGGGCACACTCCAACACTCAGACATAATTTACAAATGAAGCATGTGTGTTTAGCGAGTCCACCAGATCAGAGGCTGTAGGGATGACCAGGGATGTTCTCTTGATATATGCGTGAATTGGACCAATTTCCAGTCCTGCTGTCACGCCCTGGCTCTGGGGACTCTTAAATGTTGAGCCAGGGTGTGTAGTTTCTATGTTTAGTTTTCTATGTTGAGTGTCTAGATCGTGTAGATCTATGTTGGCCAGGGTGGTTCCCAATCAGAGGCAGCTGTAGCTCGTTGTCTCTGATTGGGGACCATCCTTAGGCAGCCGTTTGGCACCAGTCTGTGTGGGATCTTGTTCCGTATAGGTATGTTATTAGTCTACCTTGGACTTCACGTATCGTTTGTTTGTTGTTTTTGTCGTGTGTTCAGTACTAAATAAATATGTACGCTTATCACGCTGCGCCTTGGTCCGTCTCATCCGTAAACGATCGTGACACCTGCTAAGCATTCAAAATGTAACAAGTACTTTTGGGTGTCAGGGAAAACGTATAGAGTAAAAAGTACATTATTTTATTTAGGAATGTAGTGAAGTAAAAGTAAAAGTTGTCCAATATATCAATAGTAATGTACAGATACCCCAAAAAATTTACTTTAAAGTATTTTTACTTAAGTACTTTACACCACTGCGTGTTTCTGCGTCTGTCTATCTGTCAGTGTCTGTGTTTGTGTGATGAGGCACAAGTAGACTAAGTAGCTAGCCGGTACAAGTAGACTAAGTAGCTAGCTGGTGTTTTAAAGCCAAGTGTGTGTGTGTGAGAGTGTGAATGTGTGGCATGGGAGAAAGAGAGCGAGGGAGAAGTGTAGCCCATGCAACCTAGCTAGCTATGTAGCTAGTAACTTATGGGACCAGGGTGTGTGTGGTGGGTGCTTATATTTGTCCTATTGACAGGTTACATAAATGCATGAAATGGCCATCAATAATGATATCACATACCTTTATATCAAACATGACTCATTTACAATACTAGTAAAAGTGTGTGTGTGTACTGTTTGTGTGTTTTCACATGCATTTCAATGAGTGCAGGGTATGTGTCGTTTGTGCGTTATAGAAAGTGTGTTGATATTATTTGAAAATGTATTGGCTAGAATAGATTATGACGATGACTGAAAGTTAAAGTAGTTTATATTGTTATTGGTCTTATTTTTCCAGATGAAAAACATGGTGCTCATTGGCAAGATTGCTGGTTCCATGAACCTCTGCAAGGAAACGGTCAACTCAAAATACAGAGGACATCATATTTCCTTAATAGCCATCAAATCTGCAGAGAAACATTCAAGTTCCTACACGCTTAAGTTTTCTTTAAGAGTAATACAACTATGTTTTTTGTTATTATTGGGGCAGAAACAGTATCAAAACGTTCATGAGGTATTTAAGAAAGAATGACTAGTAGGTATCATGAATAGAAATAAAAGAGCTGAGAATACATTGTGCCTTTCAGCACATATTAAAAGGCATGTTTTAAATCATTTCTTTTCTGGTTTCAGAATTTCTACAGATAAGCCGACTGCATTAATAAAGTTCTACAAGGAACATGGTGTGGCTCCAAGGAAGAAGAGGTGAGGTGGTCATCTCGCCAGCAAACAGGTGCTGTCCTACGAGAACATTCAGCGACTCATCCACTATGTCAACAACTTCGCCGATGTGCTGTGTGCGGTGCCCAGGGACGTGTCATGTATTTATAAGAGATGTTATTTAACGTGGTAATTTATTCACTGTTTATCCTCCCAAGACTTTTCTCCAAATAAAATCTGACATGGAAAAACTAAAGGGCCACAACCATGATATGTGCGAGAACTACATGGGTTGTGCAAGCATTTGTGTGTACATGTATGCACATGCATGTGCACGTAAACATGCACACCGCAAGTAGTTCTCGCACATATCATGGCGTGAACATGTGCAGTGTGAGAGAGTGTTTCTCTGTCATACATATGTATGTGCATGTACAGTGGGGGGAAAAAAGTATTTAGTCAGCCACCAATTGTGCAAGTTCTCCCACTTAAAAAGATGAGAGAGGCCTGTAATTTTCATCATAGGTACACGTCAACTATGACAGACAAATTGAGCATTTTTTTCCAGAAAATCACATTGTAGGATTTTTAATGAATTTATTAGCAAATTATGGTGGAAAATAAGTATTTGGTCACCTACAAACAAGCAAGATTTCTGGCTCTCACAGACCTGTAACAACTTCTTTAAGAGGCTCCTCTGTCCTACACTCGTTACCTGTATTAATGGCACCTGTTTGAACTTGTTATCAGTATAAAAGACACCTGTCCACAACCTCAAACAGTCACACTCCAAACTCCACTATGGCCAAGACCAAAGAGCTGTCAAAGGACACCAGAAACAAAATTGTAGACCTGCACCAGGCTGGGAAGACTGAATCTGCAATAGGTAAGCAGCTTGGTTTGAAGAAATCAACTGTGGGAGCAATTATTAGGAAATGGAAGACATACAAGACCACTGATAATCTCCCTCGATCTGGGGCTCCACGCAAGATCTCACCCCGTGGGGTCAAAATGATCACAAGAACGGTGAGCAAAAATCCCAGAACCACACGGGGGGACCTAGTGAATGACCTGCAGAGAGCTGGGACCAAAGTAACAAAGCCTACCATCAGTAACACACTACGCCGCCAGGGACTCAAATCCTGCAGTGCCAGACGTGTCCCCCTGCTTAAGCCAGTACATGTCCAGGCCCGTCTGAAGTTTGCTAGAGTGCATTTGGATGATCCAGAAGAGGATTGGGAGAATGTCATATGGTCAGATGAAACCAAAATAGAACTTTTTGGTAAAAACTCAACTCGTCGTGTTTGGAGGACAAAGAATGCTGAGTTGCATCCAAAGAACACCATACCTACTGTGAAGCATGGGGGTGGAAACATCATGCTTTGGGGCTGTTTTTCTGCAAAGGGACCAGGACAACTGATCCGTGTAAAGGAAAGAATGAATGGGGCCATGTATCGTGAGATTTTGAGTGAAAACCTCCTTCCATCAGCAAGGGCATTGAAGATGAAACGTGGCTGGGTCTTTCAGCATGACAATGATCCCAAACACACCGCCCGGGCAACGAAGGAGTGGCTTCGTAAGAAGCATTTCAAGGTCCTGGAGTGGCCTAGCCAGTCTCCAGATCTCAACCCCATAGAAAATCTTTGGAGGGAGTTGAAAGTCCGTGTTGCCCAGCGACAGCCCCAAAACATCACTGCTCTAGAGGAGATCTGCATGGAGGAATGGGCCAAAATACCAGCAACAGTGTGTGAAAACCTTGTGAAGACTTACAGAAAACGTTTGACCTGTGTCATTGCCAACAAAGGGTATATAACAAAGTATTGAGAAACTTTTGTTATTGACCAAATACTTATTTTCCACCATAATTTGCAAATAAATTCATTAAGAATCCTACAATGTGATTTTCTGGAATTCTTTTTCTCATTTTGTCTGTCATAGTTGACGTGTACCTATGATGAATATTACAGGCCTCTCTCATCTTTTTAAGTGGGAGAACTTGCACAATTGGTGGCTGACTAAATACTTTTTTCCCCCACTGTATAACAAAGTATTGAGAAACTTTTGTTATTGACCAAATACTTATTTTCCACCATAATTTGCAAATAAATTCATTAAAAATCCTACAATGTGATTTTTCTGGAATTCTTTTTCTCATTTTGGTCTGTCATAGTTGACGTGTACCTATGATGAATATTACAGGCCTCTCTCATCTTTTTAAGTGGGAGAACTTGCACAATTGGTGGCTGACTAAATACTTTTTTTCCCCACTGTAGATGGGTGAGAAATCAATTTAATCAATTTTGAATTCAGGCTGTAACAACAAAATGTGGAATAAGTCAAGGAGTAAGAATACTTTGGGAAAACTTATTTGGGAATAATCAAGGTGAGGGGGACATGACTTAAAAAATGGCAGAGTAATTAAACATTTAAATTAGTTTATCATTATGATGCTCTCTGCCTTTCTAGTGTTAATCACAATCACAAAGAAATACATTAATATTTAGTTTAGGAAGGTCATAAAACACATAAGACAATTTATTTCAATAGAAAAGAATAGCATGTTTTGAGTTTTATTTATCTGTGCTTAGTAGCCAAGGCTATGGCTGTGCCATGCCAATGAAATCAACTTGTTCATTTAGCAGACATAAAAAAAAATGTATTCGCCTTTATTTAACCAGGTAGGCCAGTTGAGAACAAGTTCTCATTTACAACTGCGACCTGGCCAAGATAAAACAAAGCAGTGCGATAAAAACAACAACAACACAGATTTACACATGGGATAAACAAAACATACAGTCAATAGAAAATCTATATACAGTGTGTGCAAATGTAGTAAGTTATGGAGGTAAGGCAATAAATAGGCCATAGTGCAAAATAATTACAATTTAGTATTAACACTGGAGTGATTGATGTGCAGAAGATGATGTGCAAATAGAGATACTGGGGTGCAAATTAGCAAAATAAATAACAATATTGGGATGAGGTAGTTGGGTGGGCTAATTACAGATGGGCTGTGTACAGGTGCAGTGATCGGTAAACTGCTCTGCCAACTGCTTAAAGTTAGTGAGGGAAATAAGAGTCTCAAGCTTCAGAGATTTTTGCAGTTCGTTCCAGTCATTGGCAGCAGAGAACTGGAAGGAATGGCGGCCAAAGGAGGTGTTGGCTTTGGGGATGACCAGTGAGATATACCTGCTGGAGCGCAAACTAAGGGTGGGTGTTGCTATGGTGACCAATGAGCTAAGATAAGGCGGGGATTTGCCTAGAAGTGATTTATAGATTACCTAGAGCCAGTGGGTTTGGCGACGAATATGTAGTGAGGGCCAGCCAACGAGAGCGTACAGGTCACAATGGTGGGTAGTATATGGGGCTTTGGTGACAAAACGGATGGCACTGTGATAGACTACATCCAATTTTCTGAGTAGAGTGTTGGAGGCTATTTTGTAAATGACATCGCCGAAGTCAAGGATCGGTAGTATAGTCAGTTTTACAAGGGAATGTTTGGCAGCATGAGTGAAGGAGGCTTTGTTGCGAAATAGGAAGCCAATTCTAGATTTAACTTTGGATTGGAGATGCTTCATGTGAGTCTGGAAGGAGAGTTTACGGTCTAACCAGACACCTAGGTATTTGTAGTTGTCCACATATTCTAAGTCAGACCCGCCGAGAGTAGTGATTCTGGTCGGGCGGGCGGGTGCAAGCAGCGTTCGATTGAAAAGCCTGCATTTAGTTTTACTAGCATTTAATAGCAGTTGGAGACTACGGAAGGAGGGTTGTATGGCATTGAAGCTCGTTTGAAGGTTTGTTAACACAGTGTCCAATGAAGGGCCAGATGTATACAAAATGGTGTCGTCTGCGTAGAGGTGGGTCTGAGAGTCACCAGCAACAAGAGCGACATCATTGATACACACAGAGAATAGAGTCGGCCCGAGAATTGAGCCCTGTGGCACCTCCATAGAGAATGCCACAGGTCCAGACAACAGGCCCTCCGATTTGACACATTGAACTCTAACTGAGAAGTAGTTGGTGAACCAGGCGAGGCAGTCATTTGTGAAACCAAGGCTATTTAGTCTGCCAATAAGAATGCGGTGATTGACAGAGTCGAAAGCCTTGGCCAGGTCGATGAAGATGGCTGCACAGTACTGTCTTTTATCGATTGCGGTTATAAATATCGTTTAGGACCTTGAGCGTGGCTGAGGTGCACCCATGACCAGCTTGGAAACCACATTGCATAGCGGAGAAGGTACGGTGGGATTCGAAATGGTCGGTGATCTGTTAACTTGGCTTTCAAATACTTTCGAAAGGCAGGGCAGGATGGATATAGGTCTATAACAGTTTGGATCTAGAGTGTCACCCCCTTTGCAGAGGGGGATGACTGCGGCAGCTTTCCAATCTCTGGGGGTATCAGATGATACGAAAGAGAGGTTGAACAAGCTAGTAACAGGGGTTGCTACCATTTCGGCGGCTAATTTTAGAAAGAAAGGGTCCAGATTGTCTAGCCCAGCTGATTTGTAGGGGTCCAGATTTTGCAGCTCTTTCAAAACATCAGCTATCTGAATTTGGGTGAAGGAGAAGCGGGGGGGGCATGGGCAAGTTGCAGCGGAGGGAGCAGAGCTGGTAGCCGGGGTAGGGGTAGCCAGGTGGAAAGCATGGCCAGCCGTAGCAAAATGCTTGTTGAAATATTCGATTATCGTAGATGTATCGGTGGTGACAGTGTTTCCTAGCCTCAGTGCAGTGGGCAGCTTTTTGGAGTTAGCGCTACAGGATGCAAATTTCTGTTTGAAAAAGCTAGCCTTTGCTTTCCTAACTGATTGTGTATATTTGTTCCTGACTTCCCTGAAAAGTTGCAAATATCGCGGGGGCTGTTCGATGCAGTACGCCACAGGATGTTTTTGTGCTGGTCAAGGGCAGTCAAGTCTGGGGTGAACCAGGGGCTATATCTGTTCTTAGTTCGGAATTTACTAAGACATTTATTGAATGGGGCATGCTTATTTAAGATGGAGAGGAAAGCCCTTTTAAAGAACAACCAGGCATCCTCTACTGACGGAATGAGGTCAATATCCATCCAGGATACCCGGGCCAGGTCAATTAGAAAGGCCTGCTCGCTGAAGTGTTTTAGGGAGTGTTTGACAGTGATGAGGGTTGGTCATTTGACTGCGGACCCATTACGGATGCAGGCAATGAGGCAGTGATCGCTGAGATCCTGGTTGAAGACAGCGGAGGTGTATTCAGAGGGTAAATTAGTCAGGATGATATCTTTGAGGGTGCCCATATTTACAGATTTAGGGTTGTACCTGGTAGGTTCCTTGATAATTTGTGTGAGATTGAGGGCATCTAGTTTAGATTGTAGGATGGCCAGGGTGTTAAGCATATCCCAGTTTAGGTCACCACCAAGCAGTACGAACTCTGAGGATAGATGGAGGGCAATCAATTCACATATGGTGTCCAGGGCACAGCTGGGGGCTGAGGGCGGGCTGTAGCAAGTGGCAACAGTGAGAGACTTATTTCTGGAAAGGTGGATTTTTAGAAGTAGAAGCTCAAACTGTTTGGGCACAGACCTGGATAGTATGATAGAGCTCTGCAGACTAGCTCTACAGTAGATTGCAACTCCGCCCCCTTTGGCAGTTCTATCTAGACAGAAAATGTTGTAGTTGGGGATGGAAATTTCAGAGTTTTTGGTGGCCTTCCTAAGCCAGGATTCAAACATTGCTAGAACATCAGGGTTGGTGGCGTGTGCTAATGCAGTGAATAACTCAAACTTAGGGAGGAGGCTTTGATGTTAACATGCCAGAAACCAAGGCTTTTACGGTTACAGAAGTCAACAAATGATAGCGCCTGGGGAGTAGGAGTGGTACTGGGGGCTACAGGGCCTGGGTTAACCTCTACATCACCAGAGGAACAGAGGAGGAGTAGAATAAGGATATGGCTAAAGGCTTTAAGAACTGGTTTTCTAGTGCGTTGGGTACAGAGAAAAAAAGGGGCAGATTTCCAGGCGTTGTAGAATAGATTCAGGGCATTATGTACAGACAAGGATATGGAAGGATATGAGTACAGTGGAGGTAAACCTAAGCGTTGGGTAACAATGAAAGAGATAGCATCACTGGAGGCACCGATTGAGCCGGTCTCCGCGTGTGTGGGGGGTGGGACAAAGGAGCTATCTGAGGCAGGTTGAGCGGGACTGGGGGCTCTACAGTGAAATTGTATAATAAGAACCAACAGCAATAGGCAAGGCATATTGACATGGGAGAGAGGCATAAAGCAATCACAGGTGTTTTTCGAGAGAGCTAAGACAACAACTGGTAATGGCGACGAAAGTTTGGGCTGAGGCTAAACAGATAAACAGTATGGGGTACCGTGTAAAGGAACAGTCCAGTAGGCATCAGCTGTGTAGCTGAGTGATCATAAGGTCCAGTGAACAGCAATAGGTGAGTCCGGGAGCAAGTTCGATGGCTGCTACGGCACAGGCGAGCAGGAGGCACGGCTGTTGATTGAGTGTGCTAGCAGGCCGGTGCTAGCAGGTGGATCTTCGTGGTCGTCGCAACGGGAAGCCTGTTGAAACCACATCAGGCGATTACGTCGGCAGACCAGTCGTGATGGATTGGCGGGGCTCCGTGTTGACACTAGGAGGTCCTGTTCGGTTGACAGAGAGGTAGATAGCCGGGAGATTGGCCTGGCTCGAGGCTAGCTCAAGGCTAACTGGTGCTAGCTTCGGGACAGTGGTGATTAGCCAACAACAACATCCATTCGGTTGCAGCTAGCTAGTTGCGATGATCCGGTGTTAAAGGTCCAGTGATTCAGTGATTCCGGCAGAAAATCCGATATGTTCTGGGTCGATAGCGCGCTGTGCAGACTGGCCGATAATTGTCCAGGCTAGAGCTGGCTGGTAGGTAGTGCAGGCCACGGACAATGGTGAAAACCGCTAACGGTGGCTAATAGCAAGTAGCTAGTTAGCTGGCTAGCTGGAATAGTTTCAGCCGGTTCTAAATAAAAAGGTATAAGAAATAATAGAATCCGTTCCACATTGGGTGAGGTGGGTTGCAGGAAAGTATATTTAGTTGAAGGATGAAAAGTGAGATTGAGAAATATATATGAAAAAGACAAAAAAACTGGCTATTTACACGAGCACACTACAGAATACACAACCGCACTGCTACGCCATCTTGGAATCATCATAGGCCCTGCCCTACAACTGTCAACACACAAATAGTTTACAGTAAGAATAATGGAATACACACACACACACAACAAAAATATAAAAACGCAACATGCAACAATTTCAATTATACCTTAAAAAAATGAAAGTAGGGGCGTAGATCAGAAACCAGTCAGTATTTGGTGTGACCACCATTTGCCTCATGCAGCGCGACACATCTTCTTTGCATAGAGTTGATCAGGCTGTTGATTTTAGCCTGTGGAATGTTGTCCCACTCCTATTAAATGGCTGTGTGAAGTTGCTGGATATTGGCAAAAACTGGAACACGCTGTCGTACATGTCGATCCAGAGCATCCCAAACCTGCTCAATGGGTGACATGTCTGGTGAGTATGCAGGCCATGGAAGAACTGGGACACTTTCAGCTTCCAGGAATTGTGTACAGATCCTTGCGACATTGGGCTGTGCATCATCATGCTGAAAGATGAGGTGATGGCGGCGGATGAATGGCACGACAATGGGCCTCAGGATCTGGTCACGGTATCTCTGTGCATTAAAATTGCCATTGATAAAATGCAATTGTGCAATAAAATGAACATTCTCTGGCAACAGCTCTGGTGGACATTCCTGCAGTCAGCATGCCAATTGCACACTCCCTCAAAACTTGAAAGATCTGTGGCTTTGTGTTTTGTGACAAAACTGCACATTTTAGTGGCCTGTTATTGTCCCCAGCCCGAGGTGCACCTGTTTAATGATCATGCTTTTTAATCAGCTTCTTGATATGCCGCACGTCAGGTGGATGGATTATCTTGGCAAAGGAGAAATGCTCACTAACAGGGATGTAAACAAATTTGTGCACAGAATTTGAGAGAAATAAGCTTTTTGTGCATATGGAAAATGTCTGGGATCTTTTATTTCACCTCATGAAACCAACACTTTACATGTTGCACACACACACACACACATACATACATATACATATATATACATACATATATATATATATATATATATATATATATATATATATATGTATATATATACAGTACCAGTCAAAAGATTGGACACACCTACTCATTCAAGTGTTTTTATTTATGTTTTACTATTTTCGACATTGTAGAATAATAGTGAAGACATCCAAACTATGAAATAACACATATGGAATCATGTAGCAAACAAAAAAGTGTTAAACAAATCAAAATATATGTTATATTTCAGATTCTTCAAAGTAGCCACCCTTTGTCTTGATGACAGCTTTGCACACTCTTGGCATTCTCTCAACCAGCTTCACGAGGTAGTCACCTGGAATGCATTTCAATTAACAGGTGTGCCTTCTTAAAAGTTAATTTGTGGAATTTCTTTCCTTCTTAATGCGTTTGAGCCAATCAGTTGTGTTGTGACAAGGTAGGGGTGGTATACAGAAGATAGCCCTATTTGGTAAAAGACCAAGTCCATATTATGGCAAGAACAGCTCAAATAAGTAAAGAGAAATGACAGTCCATCATTACTTTAAGACATGAAGGTCAGTCAATACGGAAAATTTCAAGAACTTTGAACGTTTCTTCAAGTGCAGTCGCAAAAACCATCAAGCGCTACGATGAATCTGGCTCTCATGAAGACCGCCATAGGAAAGGAAGACCCAGAGTTACCTCTGCTTAAGAGGATAAGTTCATTAGTGTTAACTGCACCTCAGATTGCAGCCCAAATAAATGCTTCACAGAGTTAAAGTAACAGACATCTCAACATCAACTGTTCAGAGGAGACTGCGTGAATCAGGCCTTCATGGTTGAATTACTGCTAAGAAACCACTACTAAAAGGACACCAATAAGTGGACACTTGCTTGGGCCAAGAAACACGAGCAATGGACATTAGACCGGTGGAAATCTGTCCTTTAGTCTGATGAGTCCAAATTTGAGATTTTTGGTTCCAACCGCCATGTCTTTGTGAGACGCAGAGTAGGTGAACGGATGATCTCTGCATGTGTGGTTCTCACCGTGAAGTATGGAGGAGGAGGTGTGATGGTGCTTTACTGGTGACACTGTCAGTGATTTATTTAGAATTCAAGGCACACTTAACCAGCATCACTACCACAGCATTCTGGAGCGATACGCCATCCCATCTGGTTTGGGCTTAGTGGGACAATCATTTGTTTTTCAACAGGACAATGACCCAACACACCTCCAGGTTGTGTAAGGGCTGACCAAGAAGGAGAGTGATGGAGTGATGCATCAGATCACCTGGCCTCCACAATCACCCAACCTCAACCCAATTGAGATGGTTTGGGATGAGTTGGACCGCAGAGTGAAGGAAAAGCAGCCAACAAGTGCTCAGCATATGTGGGAACTCCTTCAAGACTGTTGGAAAAGCATTCCAGGTGAAGCTGGTTGAGAGAATGCCAAGAGAATATACAGTGGGGGGAAAAAGTATTTAGTCAGCCACCAATTGTGCAAGTTCTCCCACTTAAAAAGATGAGAGAGGCCTGTAATTTTCATCATAGGTACACGTCAACTATGACAGACAAAATGAGAAAAAAAAATCCCGAAAATCACATTGTAGGATTTGTAATGAATGTATTTGCAAATTATGGTGGAAAATAAGTATTTGGTCAATAACAAAAGATTTCTCAATACTTTGTTATATACCCTTTGTTGGCAATGACACAGGTCAAACGTTTTCTGTAAGTCTTCACAAGGTTTTCACACACTGTTGCTGGTATTTTGGCCCATTCCTCCATGCAGATCTCCTCTAGAGCAGTGATGTTTTGGGGCTGTCGCTGGGCAACACGGACTTTCAACTCCCTCCAAAGATTTTCTATGGGGTTGAGATCTGGAGACTGGCTAGGCCACTCCAGGACCTTGAAATGCTTCTTACGAAGCCACTCCTTTGTTGCCCGGGCGGTGTGTTTGGGATCATTGTCATGCTGAAAGACCCAGTCACATTTCATCTTCAATGCCCTTGCTGATGGAAGGAGGTTTTCACTCAAAATCTCACGATACATGGCCCCATTCATTCTTTCCTTTACACGGATCAGTCGTCCTGGTCCCTTTGCAGAAAAACAGCCCCAAAGCATGATGTTTCCACCCCCATGCTTCACAGTAGGTATGGTGTTCTTTGGATGCAACTCAGCATTCTTTGTCCTCCAAACACGACGAGTTGAGTTTTTACCAAAAAATTATATTTTGGTTTCATCTGACCATATGACATTCTCCCAATCCTCTTCTGGATCATCCAAATGCACTCTAGCAAACTTCAGACGGGCCTGGACATGTACTGGCTTAAGCAGGGGGACACGTCTGGCACTGCAGGATTTGAGTCCCTGGCGGCGTAGTGTGTTACTGATGGTAGGCTTTGTTACTTTGGTCCCAGCTCTCTGCAGGTCATTCACTAGGTCCCCCCGTGTGGTTCTGGGATTTTTGCTCACCGTTCTTGTGATCATTTTGACCCCCCGGGGTGAGATCTTGTGTGGAGCCCCAGATCGAGGGAGATTATCAGTGGTCTTGTATGTCTTCCATTTCCTAATAATTGCTCCCACAGTTTATTTCTTAAAACCAAGCTGCTTACCTATTGCAGATTCAGTCTTCCCAGCCTGGTGCAGGTCTACAATTTTGTTTCTGGTGTCCTTTGACAGCTCTTTGGTCTTGGCCATAGTGGAGTTTGGAGTGTGACTGTTTGAGGTTGTGGACAGGTGTCTTTTATACTGATAACAAGTTCAAACAGGTGCCATTAATACAGGTAACGAGTGGAGGACAGAGGAGCCTCTTAAAGAAGAAGTTACAGGTCTGTGAGAGCCAGAAATCTTGCTTGTTTGTAGGTGACCAAGTACTTATTATCCACCATAATTTGCAAATAAATTCATAAAAAATCCTACAATGTGATTTTCAGGAAAAAAAATTCTCAATTTGTTTGTCATAGTTGACGTGTACCTATGATGAAAATTACAGGTCTCTCTCATCTTTTTAAGTGGGAGAACTTGCACAATTGGTGGCTGACTAAATACTTTTTTCCCCCACTGTATATTGCCATTGATCTTCCTTGAGATGTTTCTACAAACTTGATTGGAGTCAACCTATGGTAAATTCAATTGATTGTAAATGATTTGGAAAGGCACACACCTGTCTATATAAAAGGTCCCAAAGTTGACAGTGCATGTCAGAGCAAAAACCAAGCAATGAGGTCGAAGGAATTGTCCATATAGAGCTCAGTCTGCTGTCCCCACTTGCTTCAAGACATCCACCATTGTTCCTGTACCCAAGTAAGCATAGGTAACTGAACTAAATGACTATCGCCCCGTAGCATTCACTTCTGCCATCATGAAGTGCTTTGAGAGGCTAGTTAAGGATCATGTCACCTCTATCTTACCTCACACCCTAAACCCACTTCAATTTGAATACCGCCCCAATAGATCCACAGACGATGCAATCGCCATCGCACTGCACACTGCCCTATCCCATCTGGACAAGAGGAATACCTATGTAAGAACGCTGTTCATTGACTATAGCTCAGCCTTCAACACCATAGTACCCTCATCATTAAGCTTGGGGCCCTGGGTCTGAATCCCACCCTGTGCAACTGGGTCCTGGACTTTCTGACGGGCCGCCCCCAGGTGGTGAAGGTAGGAAACACCTCCACTTCGCTGATCCTCAACACTGGGGCCCCACAAGGGTGCGTGCTCAGCCCCCTCCTGTACTCCCTTTTCACCCATGACTGCTTGGCCACGCACGCCTCCAACTCAATCATCAAGTTTGCAGACGACACAACAGTAGTAGGCCTGATTCCCAACAATGACCAGACAGCATACAGGGAGGAGGTGAGGGCCCTGGCGGAGTGGTGCCAGGAAAATAACTTCTCCCTCAATGTCAACAAAATGAAGGAGATGATCGTGGACTAAAGGAAACAGCAGAGGGAGCACGTCTCTATCCACATCAACGGGACCGCAGTGGAGAAGGTAAGGTGGAAAGCTTACACATCACTGACAATCTGAAATGGTCCACCCACACAGACAGTGTGGTGAAGGCGGCGCAACAGCACCACTTCAACCACAGGAGGCTGAAAAAATGTGGCTTGGCCCCTAAGACCCTCAAACTTTTACAGATGCACAATTGAGAGCATCCTGTTGGTCTGTATCACCACCTGGTACACCAACTGCACCGCCTGCAACTGCAGGACTCTCTAGAGGGTGGTGCGGTCTTCCCAACGCGTCACCTAGGACACACTGCCTGCCCTCCAGGACACCTACAGCACCCGATGTCACAGGAAGGCCAAAAAGATCATCCAGGACATCAACCACCTGAGCCATGGCCTGTTCCTACGCTACCATCCAGAAGGTGAGGTCAGTACAGGTGCATCAAAGCTGGGACCGAGAGACTGAAAAACAGCTTCTTGTCACGCCTGCTCCCGCTCCCCCTCCCCCTCCCTGGCGCTCGAGGGCGCCAGGCTGCCCATCATTACGCACACCTGTCACCATCGTTACACGCATCAGCGCTCATTGGACTCACCTGGACTCCTTCCCTTTGTTAATTACCTCCCCTATTTCTGTTCCTCTGTTTGATCCCCGTGTCAGCATTGACGTTGTTACGTTTCCCCTGTCCAGACGCTGTCTGTGTTTTGTTCCATGTCTTTGTTTATATTAAATGTTTACTCCCTGTACCTTCTTCTCGTCTCCCAGCATCTGTTCTCACACTTCTATCTCAAGGCCATCAGACTGTTAAATAGCCATCACTAGCCGGCTACCATCACGTTACTCAACCCTGCACCTTAGAGGCTGCTGCCCCATATACATAGACATGGAATCACTGGTCACTTTAATAATGGAACACTAGTCACTTTAATAATGTTTACATACTGATTTACTCATTTCATATGTATATACTGTACTATACTATTCTACTGTATTTTAGTCAATGCCACTCCGACATTGCTCGTCCTAATAATTATATATTTCTTAATTCCATTCTTTTACTTTCAGATGTGTGTATTGTTGTGAATTGTTAAATACTACTGCACTGTTGGAGCTAGGAACAAAAGCATTTAATTGTCTTGGCTGTGTGCTTAGGGTCGTTGTCCTCTTGAAAGGTGAACATTCGCCCCAGTCTGAGGTCTTGAGCGCTCTGGAGCAGGTTTTCATCAAGGATCTCTCTGTAGTTTGCTCTGTTCATCTTTGCCTCATTCCTGACTAGTCTCCCAGTCCCTGCCGCTGAAAAACATCCCCACAGCATGATGCTGCCACCACCATGCTTCACCGTAGGGATGGTGCCAGGTTTCCTCCAGACGTGACGCTTGGCATTCAGGCCAAAAAAGTTCAATCTTGGTTTCATCAGACCAGAGAATCTTGTTTCTCATGGTCTGAGAGTCTTTAGGTGCTCCAAGCGGGTTGTCATGTCCCTTTTACTGAGGAGTGGCTTCCGTCTGGCCACTCTACCATAAAGGCCTGATTGGTGGACTGCTGCAGAGATGGTTGTCCTTCTGGAAGGTTCTCCCATCTCCACAGAGGAACTCTAAAGCTCTGTCAGAGTGACCATCGGGTTCTTGGTCACCTCCCTGACCAAGGCCCTTCTCCCCAGATTGCTCAGTTTGGCCGGGCTGCCAGCTCTAGGAAGAGTCTTGGTGATTCCAAACTTCTTCCATTTAAGAATGATGGAGGCCACGGTGTTCTTGGGGACCTTCAAAGCGGCAGAAACTTTTTGGTACCCTTCCCCAGATCTGTGCCTCGAAGGGAGGTTGGATGAGGAAATGTTGGATGGGTGGGGTTGGGGGAATGGGATGTTGGGAGTAGAGGCTCACTTCTTGTTTATTTTCCTTTACATACTAAATGTTCTGTAATATGATCATAATGATCAATACTTTGTATTTATGTACCTTTAAAATGTTTTTTCTTTTGGAGGCGCAGCCCAGAGGTGAATACAAACTAAATATGAAATTATAGTCACAAAGAACTATAAAACACACAGTAGAACTTGTATATGCCATGTGTTCCCAGTTTGAAACACCCATATTTTGCATATGATCCTAAAAGTGATGCATAATAACCATAAACACATCTGAACTGTGCTTGAACATGTTTACCTCATCTCCCTGTTTCACGGTCCGGACTTGCAGCTGACCAATAGCTTTCTTGGCCTCTGCCTTGAGCTGTTTCTGTTGGAGTAGATTAAAGAACATGTTCAGTATTAGAACGTGACCAGGCTGCTGTTTAAATTACATTACATTACATTACATTACATTACATTACATCTGCTTCCTCTGACAACCGGAAACATCTGGTTTTCAGGGGAAATGAAAGGTAGGTTGAAGACACTGTGTTCCTGAAAACCGGATGTGGGGACTCCGCTCAGCCGTTTCTTTTACGCCTGCTACGTTAGGTTAAGCAACAGACAACTAACAAAAAATAAATAAAATCACTATTTAATGTCTAAAATGCAACACCAACATAGCCAACATTTTGCACCAACAATTATTTTTTTCTAATTTCCTGTAATGTGACCATACATGATTGAAGTAGGAGTGAGCAGGAGAACGGTAAGCGATGAGGTCATGTTAGAGACCTTTTATTCCGTTTGAACATCTGGGAGGAAAGTGTTCATTAAAGCAGTTCTACTGTGTGTCATTAAGCCGCTCCTCTAAAACCATGTATTGGAAACATTACATCAGCTTGTATATAGGACGGAAAAACATCAGATTGCGTGCAATTGGCATGCTGACTGCAGGAATGTCCACCAGAACTGTTGCCAGAGAATTCAATGTTAATTTCTCTACCATAAGACGTCGTTTTAGAGAATATGGCAGTACGTCCAAATGGCCTCACAATCGCAGAGCACGTGTAACCACGCCAGCCCAGGACCTCCACAGCCGGCATCTTCACCTGCGGGATCGTCTGAGACCAGCCACCTGGACAGCTGATTCAATTGTGGGTTTGCACAACCAAAGAATTTCTGCACAAACTGTCAGAAACCGTCTCAGGGAAGCTCATCTGCGTGCACGTCGTTCTCACCAGGGTCTTGACCTGACTGCAGTTCGGCGTCGTAACAGACTTCAGTGGGCAAATGGCCACTGGCACGCTGGAGAAGTGTGCTCTTCACGGATGAATCCCGGCTTCAACTGTACCAGGCAGATGGTGCCCCATTGTGAACAGAGTGCCCCATCGTAGCGGTGGGTTATGGTATGGGCAGGCATAAGCTACGGACAACGAACACAATATCATGTTAACGATGGCAATTTGAATGCACAGAGATACCGTGACGAGATCCTGGAGGCCCATTGTCGTTCCATTCATCCGCCGCCATCACCTCATGTTTCAGCATGATAATGCACAGCCCCATGTCGCAAAGATCTGTACACAATTCCTGGAAGCTGAAAATGTGATGCAATCTTGTTTGCGCAGCAGAAGGTTTTACAGAAATGCTCCCTTTTGAGTGGAGCTGAGCATTCTGCCCATAGTAAACACTTCACCATATAGACCTGACCATATAGACCTGACAATTTTTTTCCCTTTTAATATGTATGCCATACAAAAAACATTGCTTTCTAGTGGCATGTACTCATGGATGCCAAAGGAATAATAATAATAATAATAATAATATGCCATTTAGCAGACGCTTTTATCCAAAGCGACTTACAGTCATGCGTGCATACATTTTTTTTTTGTGTACGGGTGGTCCCGGGGATCGAACCCACTACCTTGGCGTTACAAGCGCCGTGCTCTACCAGCTGAGCTACAGAGGACCACCCGTACATAAAATAATGTATCTTTCATTGTTTTCCTTCATTTCGCAGGAGGCCGAATGCGTCTCACCGGCGAAAGCATCTGCGCAAGCGAAACAGCACCCCTCTTTCAGTGTGTGGTCAAAAAGAGTATGACATTGTTGTCGCTCATAGCATTGAATGCAAGGGAAATCAGCGAGGATTTGGCCTCCCTTGAAAAAATCTATAAATAAATAGCCAATCACAGCGTTGAGCTAAACTGAGTGAACTCAACTGTGAATGGTCCTGGCGCACCCAAAAAAAATTATAAATAAAAAAAGTGTCAAGGTAAGACAGTTTGGATTTGGCTTCACACCAATCACATCACATCTATAGCAGAACATCAGAAAAAAAGTTGAATTGCTGCATCTCGTTGTGTCATTGTCCTCCGGTGGCTAGGTAGCTAGCTAAAATCGTCCCTTTCTTAAATCAGCCATGGATGGAGATAGGGATTTGGACTTGTGGTTTTACTTAATTCTCTGTACTGGCCAATGATTATAACGCCGATTCTGATCCAACCATTAATTCATACATTGTTGTGCCCCTGGCCTGAGAGGATAGAAGTTCAATATGTAGCTAGATGTAGAAGGCTAATGTTAACTAGCTAACATTGCCCATGAATGTTAGTTAGGCTTGCGAGCAAGCTCACTCATGGACTCACTCTGTGTGCAATACTACCGTTGAACATGATTTTTTTATGACTACCTCATCTCTGTACCCTACACAAATGTAAGATCCCTCAGTCGAGCAGTGAATTTCAAACACAGATGATTCAACCACAAAGACCAGGGAGGTTTTCGAATGCTGGGTAAAGATGGGTAAAAAAAAAAAAAAAAAAAGCAGACATTGAATATCCCTTTCAGCATAGTGAAGTTAATAATTACACTTCGGACAGTGTATCAATGCACCCAGTCACTACAAAATACAGGAGTCCTTCCTAACTCAGTTGCCGGAGAGGAAGGAAACCGCTCAGGGATTTCACCATGAGGCCAATGGTTACTTTAAAACAGTTCGAGTTTATGGCTGTGATAGGCGAAAACTGAGGATGGATCAACAACATTGTCATTTAGGTTAGTATTGTGGAGTAACTACAGAGTGAAAAGAAGGAAGCCTGTCCAGAATAATTTTTTTCCAAAACATGCATCCTGTTTGCAACAAGGCACTAAAGTAACACTGCAGTAAATGTAGCAAAGCAATTAACATGTTGTATTCAGAACAAAAAGTTATGTTTGGGGCAAATACAATACATTACTGAGTACCACTCTCTATATTTTCAAGCATAGTGGTGGTTGCATCATGTTATGGGTATGCTTGTAATCGTTAAGGACTAGGGAGTTTTTCAGGATGAAAAAGAAATGGAACGGAGCTAAGTACAGGCTAAATCCTAGAGGAAAACCTGGTTCAGTCTACTTTCCACCAGACACTGGGAGATGAATTCACATTTCAGCAGGACAATAACCTAAAACACAAGGCCAAATCTACACTGGAGTTGCTTACCAAGAAGACAGTAAATGTTCCTGTGGCCAAGTTAAAGTTTTGACTTAAATCTACTTGAAAATGTATGGCAAGACCTGAAAATGGTTGTCTAGCAATGATCAACAACCAATTTGACAAATCCTGAAGAATGTTGAAAAGAATAATGGGCAAATGTTTCACAATTCAGGTGTGGAAAGGTCTTGAGACTTACCCAGGAAGACGCACTGCTGTAAATCACTGACAAAAGTATTGACTCAGGGGTGTGAATACTTATGTACATGAGATATGTTTTTTATTTTTTATTATTAAGTGCTACAATTTCTAAAAACATGTTTTCACTTTGTCCTTATGGGGTATTGTGTGTAGATGGGTGAGAGAAACAAATCTACTTAATCCATTTTGAGTTCAGGCTGTAACATCAAAATGTAGAACAAGTCAAGGGTATGAATACTTTCTGAAGGCACTGTATCATGGCAGCAAGGCATATCAACTAATAGGTTATATAGAGCAAACAACGCAATTATCAATATGGCTTTCTTTTCCCTGGCTTGGCTTCCCCAGTGATTTTACCCATGCACCACTACTGTTGATTTCAAAGTTTAACAACTCCATGCACAAGGACTACTTTAAAAATGTCCACAGAAAAATTTACAAAAACTAATTTAGTGGAAGAACTGTGCAGATGCAGACTTTGGTAACGGAATTTGGGTAAAATCTCCCTCAGGTTTTTATGCGACCACGTTTTCCAAAAACGTACATTTATGCTCCTAATTCAGATTCAAAGATGGGGGTGTCAGCTATAACATGACACTTTGTGTTTAAAAAATAAAATAAAAATCAGCTTTTGGTTATTTAACTACAGTAAGTGAAGTGGATTAACACCCAGTAATGGAATTTCATCATGGGTCCCTGATCTGTACTACACAGAAATGCATAATTATGTATATGAATGTCATTCTCATGTTTCACAAGTCTAGACATCACAGTGCAATACAGCACAGCAGAGTAGGGTAGAGTAGAGTTCAGTACAATACAATATACTGTACTACTGTATTGTAATGGACTATAATCTTACTGTGCTCTATTCACTGAACTGTCCAAACTTGTGAAACATACACTATATATACACAAGTATCTGGACACCCCTTAAAATTATTGGATTCGGCTATTTCAGCCACACCCGTTGCTGACGGGTATATAAAATTGTAAAATGTAATCGCCATAAAACAAACATTGGCAGTAGAATGGCCTTACTGAAGAGCTCAGAGACTTTCAACGTGGCACAGTCATAGGATGCCACCTTTCCAACAACTCAATTTGTCAAATTTCTGCCCTGCTAGAGCTGCCCCGGTCAACTGTAAGTGATGTTATTGTGAAGTGGAAACGTCTAGGAGCAACAGCAGCTCAGCCGCGAAGTGGTAGGCCACACAAGCTCACAGAACGGAACCGCAGAGAGCTGAAGCACGTAAAAACTATCTGTCCTCGTTGGCAACACTCATTAACGAGTTCCAAACTGCCTCTGGAAGCAACGTCAGCCCAAGAACTGTTAGTCTAAGATCACCATACGCAATGCCAAGCGTCGGCTGGAGTGGTGTAAAGCTCGCCACCATTGGACTCTGGAGCAGTGGAAATGAGTTCTCTGGAGTGATGAATCACGCTTCACCATCTGGCAGTCTGACGGATGAATAAAAGTTTGGCAGATGCCAGGAGAACGCTACCTGTCCGAATGCATAGTGCCAACTGTAAAGTTTGTTGGAGGAGGAATAATGGTCTTGGTTAGATGGGGAGCGTGTGACCGGGTTCAAGTCTGGGCTCTGGCTGGGCCACTCAAGGACATTCAGAGACTTGTCCCGAAGCCACTCCTGCGTTGTCTTGGCTGTGTGCTTAGGGTCATTGTCCTGTTGGAAGGTGAACCTTCACCCCAGTCTGAGGTCCTTAGCGCTATAAAGCAGGTTTTCATCAAGGATCTCTGTACTTTGCTCTGTTTATCTTTCCCTCGATCCTGACTAGCCTAAAAGTCCCTGCCGCTGTAAAACATCCACACAGCATGATACTGCCACCACCATGTTTCACTATAGGGATGGTGACAGGTTTCCTCCATACGTGACGCTTGGCATTCAGGCCAAAGAGTTCAATCTTGGTTTTATCAGACCAGAGAATCTTGTTTCTCATGGTCTGAGAGTCTTTAGGTGCCTTTTGGCAAACTCCAAGCGGGCTGTCATGTGCCTTTTACTGAGGAGTAGCTTCCGTCTGGCCAGTCTACCATAAAAGCCTGATTGGTGGAGTGCTGCAGAGATGGTTGTCCTTCTGGAAGGTTCTCCCATCTCCACAGAGGAACTCTGGAGCTCTGTCAGAGTGACCATCGGGTTCTTGGTCACCTCCCTGACCAAGGCCCTTCTACCCGATTGCTCAGTTTGGCCGGGCGGCCAGCTCTAGGAAGAGTCTTGGTGGTTACAAACTTCTTCCATTTAAGAATGATGGAGGCCACTGTGTTCTTGGGGACCTTCAATGCTGCAGACATTTTTTGGTACCCTTTCCCAGATCTGTGCCTCGACACAATCCTGTCTCGGAGCTCTACAGACAATTCCTTCGACACCATGGCTTGGCTTTTGATCTGACATGCACTGTCAACTGTGGGACGTGATATAGACATGCATTTGTCTTTCCAAATCATGTCCAATCAATTGAATTTACCACAGGTGGACTCCAAATCAAGTTGTAGAAACATCTCAGGATGCACCTGAGCTCACTTTCGAGTCTCATAGCAAAGGGTCTCAATACTTATAGTACAAGTCAAAAGTTTGGACACCTACTCATTCCAGGGTTTTTCTTTATTTTTACTATTTTCTACATTGTAGAATAATAGTGAAGACATCAAAACTATGAAATAACAAATATGGAATCATGTAGTAACCAAACAAAGTGCTAAACTCATGGGCGGCGCACAATTGGCCCAGCGTCGTCCAGGGTAGGGGAGGGAATGGCCGGCAGGGATGTAGCTCAGTTGATAGAGCATGGCGTTTGCAACGCCAGGGTTGTGGGTTTGATTCCCACGGGGGGCCAGTATAAAAAAAATATGTATTCACTAACTGTAAGTCGCTCTGGATAAGAGCGTCTGCTAAATGACTAAAATGTAATGTAAAATGTAAACAAATCAAAATATATTTATATTTAAGATTATTCAAATAGCCACCGTTTGCCTTGACAGCTTTGCACACTCTTGGCATTCTCTGAGGTAGTCACCTGAAATGCATTTCAATTAACAGGTGTGCCTTCTTAAACGTTAATTTGTGGAATTTCTTTCCTTAATGCGTTTGAGCCATTAGTTGTGTTGTGACAAGGTAGGGGGGGTATACAGAAGATAGCCCTATTTGGTGAAAGACCATGTCCATATTATGGCAAGAACAGCTCAAATAAGCAAAGAGAAACGACAGTCCATCATTACTTTAAGACAGTCAATACGGAAAATTTCAAGAACTTTTAAAGTTTCTTCATGTCGCAAAAACCATCAAGCGCTATGATGAAACTGGCTCTCATGAGGACCGCCACAGGAATGGAAGACCCAGAGTTACCTCTGCTGCAGAGGATAAGTTCATTAGAGTGAACAGCCTCAGAAATTGCAGCCCAAATAAATGCTTCACAGAGTTCAAGTAACAGACACATCTCAACATCAACTGTTCAGAGGGGACTGCTGCAAAGAAACCACTACTAAAGGACACCAATAAGAAGAGACCTGCTAGGGCCAAGAAACACGAGCAACGAACATTAGACCGGTGGAAATGTGTCCTTTGGTCTGGAGTCCAAATTTGAGATTTTTGGTTCCAACCGCTGTGTCTTTGTGAGACTTGGTGTGGGTGAACGGATGATCTCTGCATGTGTATTTCCCACCGTAAAGCATGGAGGAGGTGATATGGTGTGGGGGTGCTTTGCTGCTGACACTGTCTGTGATTTATTTAGAATTCAAGGCACACTTAACCAGCATGGCTACCACAGCATTCTGCAGCGATACGCCATCCCATCTGGTTTGGGCTTAGTGGGACTATCATTTGATTTTCAACATGACAATGACCCAACACACCTCCAGGCTGTGTAAGGGCTATTTTACCAAGAAGGAGAGTGATGGAGTGCTGCATCAGATGACCTGGGCTCCACAATCCCCCGATCTCAACCAAATTGAGATGTTTTGGGATGAGTCAGACCATAGAGTGAAGGAAAAGCAGCCAACAAGTGCTCAGCATATGTGGGAACTCCTTCAAGACTATTGGAACAGCATTCCAGGTGAAGCTGGTTGAGAGAATGGCAAGCGTGTGCAAAGCTGTCATCAAGGCAAAGGGTGGCTACTTTGAAGAATCTCAAATATAAAATATATTTTGATTTGAACACTTTTTTGTTTACTACATGATTCCATGTGTTATTTCATAGTTTTGATGTCTTCACTATTATTCTACAATGTAAAAAATAGTAAAAATAAAGAAAAACCCTTGAAATGATTAGGTGTGTCCAAACTTTTGACTGGTAGTGTAGGTGCAGCATTCTAATTCAGCACAAACCACTGACTGGTGTCACTGTCAAACAAGTATTTGTGTATTTGCTAGCAGTCTTGGGACATGTCTGTTGAATATGACTGTTCAGGTTTAGACATTAAAACTTACAACTGACGGTATCCTCATGTTCAGTCAACTTCCCTGTCTAACAATCACAAAACCAACTATATTTCCCTGTCTCCTAGAGGCAATTCAATAGAGATTAACATGACTGGTGAAAACAATCATGGGAATGCAGTGCTTTACTTGGGCAGGAGCTCACTGGCGCTGAGTACCGGAACCTCAAATTGTCTACTGCTCGAGTTCCTGCACCTATTACAGAATATAAGCTTAAAACTACTGCAGTTCCTGCACCTAAATATTTATTTTTATTTAACCTTTATTTAACTAGGCAAGTCAGTTAAAAACAAATTCTTATTTACAATGACGGCCTACCCCGGCCAAACCCGGACGACACTGGGCCAATTGTATGCTGCCGTATGGGACTCCCAATCACGGATGGATTGTGATACAGCCTGGAATCGAACCAGGGTCTGTAGTGACGCCTCTAGCACTGAGATGCAGTGCCTTAGACCGCTGCACCACTCGGGAGGTACCACAGTACCAGCACACAAAATGAGTACCGGCACCTATTTCAGTCCAAATCAAGCATTGTGGGAATGTGTAAAACTGGTTTGTCAAGTTCTGGTTTACAGAGGGTAAATAATTGTTGTCATTGTTCCACAGACTGGAGTCTGACCTGTTTGAGGTTTTGTAGACGAACACTGTTGAGGCGGCGAGCCGAGTTGAAGATGAAGTAGCCCACAGTGGCTGATGTTACCACGAAGAAGGAGATGGAGATGAAGAACACAGAGTAGTGGCTCATCCAGGGACCATGCTGCTTGCCCACCTCAATGGTCATCGAGACTGGAATCCCTTGCCTGATCAGCTCAACAATTTCCATGCCCCGTCTGTGACTAATCATGATGGCAACCATATCTCCTGTTCCTGTAACCAGGGGGGAAACAAAGTATGAGGAAACAAAACACTCTCCTCAGACACATACAGGCTGGGCCTTACATATACCTTCAGGTGCTCAAAGAAATTCCACTATCTAGGCCTAATGTGTCAGTCTATTAAAAATATTTAACAAGCAATGTAAGAACATGGTGTTCTTTAATGTGAAAACATATCTATTGCAAAGTATTACAGTGCCGAAATGTGTATTGTTCTCTGTGAGAGCACGCATCTTCACAGTTTTGAACAATAGAAGGATCCATTACATGGTAGTGATGGTGGAAAATATCAATACAGTTACATATCATGATTTTTTAAAAACGTTATATCGTATTATTTTGACAATATCGCAATATTATTTGTGGTAGATGGTTGTACCTGCACTAAAACTCCTTCATAGATGGTTCTTTTTAAAATAGGGAGCCAATTTGTTTTCAGCATTTTTATTTCCATGACTGATCAAAACTCATTTTATCATTCTCCCTCTTGTCCCTCTGCAGCAGACATATGGTGAGCAATTTGTTTGGAACAATGAATCGCAATAAACTCACAGTATTGAATCGCAATACATATAGAATCGTGAGAATCACAATAAATATCGTATCGTGAGGTCCCTGACAATTCAAATAAAAAATCTAATCAAATGTTATTGGTTGCATACACATGTTTAGCAGATGTTGTTGCGGGTGTAGCTAAATGCTTGTGTTCCTAGCTCCAACAGTGCAATAATATCTAACAATACACAAAAATCTAAAAGAATGGAATTAAGAAATGTAGAAATATTCCCAGCCCTATTACATGGGTTGTCATCAAACCAGTTTCAGTAAGTCAGAATTCATGTTCACTTTCATTGTGTTGAATCCACCTAGAAAGGATCTCATTGGAAATGAGTCAACTGATGCATGACACTTACACCAGTCATGCACAGATGAGTGATGTTGAACAACACAGTCGCTCAATTGTTTTAGCCAGATTTCACAACTTTGTTTTTTCCTTCAAGCATAACCGAAAAACCAATGTCAACTTGAAATATTTCTGACATTTTGAGGGGGTTAACAAGTACTACAATAGAATTTAAGTACAGTACTATTTAGATGTTTACACACTATTGGCTTCAAGCCTTCCTTATCACCCTGAAACAGGCTCCTCTATTTCTAACAACCATGTGAATCATGTCAACACAAACGTTTCATAAATGTTGTACATGTATTCCCTAAATTAGCTAACGGAGTCACTGTATAGCTCAATGACTTAATATTAAAAAGGTTTACCATCTTTTCACTTAAACCCGAACTTCATTACACCCCCACATGGAATGGACAACCTGAGGGAATTACTATTGTTTTTCAGCACGTCAATGTCAACTGCATAAAGAATTGAAAAAGAGATGGGCTACCATGTTTACTTCCAAGGCTATGCCACATGATACATGTGTAGGTAGGCCTACAGTGGGGTTCTTCTGAATTAGAGATGTGCAGAGGGAACACATTTAACAAATAATTTCCAGATGTAGGCCTATGTTAAGTACACTCAAAAGTTATTCAGTGAACATTATAAATGTAACTACTATAGACAATGGTTTTCAAATCAACTTGTCTTGACAATTTGGCTATGAGAGCTTTTTCATAAAATAATATAGTAGGCTATTGGGTGATTGAAGTGGCCGGGGTAGCCTAAATGAAAGAGAAGGGTGCAATTGCATGTGGGCATTCCTGCATCTGCAGGAACCCCTCTTCATACTTCTATTGGTCAAGTTAGGACAGGTCGAAGGCGGGGGTGCTCCAGTACAGTAGGTGGCGTTAATGCACAATAACACTGGATCCCAGCTGCCGATAAACCCAACAGAAGGGGCGGGGGACACAACAGTCAGTGTTGCCAACTTAGCGAGTTTGTCGCTATATTTAGCTTTCAGACCCCTCTAGCGCCATTTTCAAAAAAGCGACTAGCGACAAATCTAGCGACTTTTTCTGGTGTTATTGGAGACTGACGTGAAAGCACGTATCGTTCTTACTCTTCTCAACGAGCAGCGGGTGCTGCCGTGGGCCCAACCCTCGTCCCAAAGCACTCACAGGCGGCCCAGTCCTCGCGCAGCAGTCCCTCCCAGCTACGGTCAGAGCAGGAGATGTTCACCCCTCCGCGTCCAGATTGCAAATGAATCGCGCATGCGGGAAGCCACATTCAGGGCAGGATGTAAATGTAGGGTGTTTGTTACTCACAACGTTATTCCTCTCTCCTACAGCTTCCATCACAATTACATGCACATGGCCAATTATGCTAATTAGGTGATGACGTCATTTAGCGACTTCTTGCAACTTTTAGGACAGCCAATAGCTACTTTCCTTAGTGAGGAGTTGGCAACACTGACAACAGTAGCTATCCAGCCGTACACCGTAGACAGTGTCCTTCACCCCTTCCTGTCGGGCACCATTATCCCGCAATTCTGTTAACGATGGCGAAGGCAGGCGGGAGCGAAGGACAGTGTGTGCTCGCTTAGCCAGCTAGTTCAAAGGAGGACTCCGGTACACAGCAAGCAGACACGATTGGTAGACAGTGTCCTTAGCCCCCGCCTGTCGGGCACGGTTTTCTCCAGTACACAAAAGGCGGGAGGCGGGGATGACACCATGATCTAGCTAGCAAGCTAGCATACAGTGTCGTTAACTATCAAGCTAGCTAGTACACGTGTCATCCTAGCCTCCTGTCTGCTGTGCTAGCGTGAGGTGGGGATGACCCACCCCACCTGTCTGGCACCGTTTTCCCGCAGTTCTGTTAACGACTGTGAGGGCAGGTGGTAGCGAAGGACACGGTCATAATACTTTTCATGCAGGAATCCAAAATGGCGTAGCAGTGCGGTCGTGTTCTTTGTTGTGTGTCCGTGTAAATAGCCTGTTTTTTTGTATTTTTCGTACACATTTCCCTTTCACACTTTTCATCCTTCTACTAAACATACTTTCCTGCAACCCACCTCACTCAATGTGGAACGGATTCTATTATTGACTTACCTTTTATCTAGAATCTCCAGTTGAAACTAGCTAGTCAGCTAACTAGCTACTTGCTATTAGCCACCGTTAGCGGTTTTCACCCAGAACATCGGATTTTCTGCCGGAATAACTGAATCACTGGACATTAACACCAGATCGCAACTAGCTAGCCACAACCGAATGGATGTTGCTGTTAGCCCCCGAAGCAAGCACCAGTTAGCCTTAAGCTAGCCTCGAGCCAGGCCCATATCCCGGCTATCTACCTCTCGGTCTACCGGACGGGAGTAGCCAGCTAACTAGCTACTTGCTATTAGCCACCGTTAGCGTTTTTTCACCATTGTCCGTGGCCTGCACTACCTGCCAGCCAGCTCTAGCCTGGACTATTATCGGCCAGTCTGCACTGTCTGCACAGCGCGTTATCGACCCAGAACATATCGGTTTTTCTGCCGGAATCACTGAATCACTGGACCTTTAACACCGGATCAGCGCAACTAGCTAGCTAAAACCAAATGGATGTTGTTGTTGGCTAATCAGCCTTGAGCTAGCCTCGAGCCAGGCCCATCTCCTGGCTATCTACCTCTCTGTCAACCGGACGGGACCTCCTAGTGTTGACACGGAGCCCCGCCGATCCAACACGACTGGTCTGCCGACGAAATCGTCTGATGTGGTTCCAACAGGCTTCCCGTTACGACGTCGACCACGAAGATCCATCTGCTAGCCCCGGCCCGCTAGCACACGCAAGCCGTTGCCTCTTGCTCGGCAGTGCTGTAGCAGCCCCCGAACTACCTCCGAACTCTCCTATTGCTGTTCACCGGACCTTATGATAACTCAGCTATACAGCTGATGCCTGCTGGACTGTTCCTTTATACGGTACCGCATCCTGTTTATGTTTAGCCTCAGCCCAAACTTTGTCACCATTACCAGCTGTTGTCTTAGCTCTCTCGATTAACACCTGTGATTGCTTTATGCCTCTCTCCCATGTCAATATGCCGTGCTTATTGCTGTTTCGGTTATTTCTTATTGTACTATTTCATTGTAGATCCCCCAGCCCAGCTCAACCTGCCTTAGATAGCTCCTTTGTCCCACCCCCCATACACGCGGAGACCGACTCAAATCGGTGCCTCCAGTGATGCTCTCTCTTTCATCATTACCCAACGCTTAGGTTTACCTCCACTGTACTCATATCCTTCCATATCCTTGTCTGTACATAACGCCCTGAATCTATTCTACAACGCCCGGAAATCTGCCCCTTCTTTTCTCTGTACCCAACGCACTAGAAGACCAGTACTTAAAGCCTTTAGCCGTATCCTTATTCTACTCCTCCTCTGTTCCTCTGGTGATGTAGAGGTTAACCCAGGCCCTGTAGCCCCCAGTATCACTCCTACTCCCCAGGCGTTATCATTTGTTGACTTCTGTAACCGTAAAAGCCTTGGTTTCTTACACGTTAACATCCGAAGCCTCCTCCCTAAGTTTGAGTTATTCACTGCGTTAGCACACTCCACCAATCCTGTTCTAGCAGTGTCTGAATCCTGGCTTAGGAAGGCCACCAAAAATTCAGAACTTTCCATCCCCAACTACAACATTTTCCGTCTCGATAGATCTGCCAAAGGGGGTGGGGTTGCAATCTACTGTAGAGATAGCCTGCAGAGCTCTATCGTACTATCCAGGTCTGTGCCCAAACAGTTTGAGCTTCTACTTCAAAAAATCCACCTTTCCAGAAATAAGTCTCTCACTGTTGCCGCTTGCTACAGACCCCCCTCTGCCCCGAGCTGTGCCCTGGACACCATATGTGAACTGATTGCCCCCCATCTATCCTCAGAGTTCGTACTGCTTGGTGACCTAAACTGGGATATGCTTAACACCCCTGGCCAACCTACAATCTAAACTAGATGCCCTCAATCTCACACAAATTATCAACGAACCTACCAGGTACAACCCTAAATCTGTAAACATGACCTCATTCCGTCAGTAGAGGATGCCTGGTTGTTCTTTAAAAGGGCTTTCCTCTCCATCTTAAATAAGCATGCCCCATTCAAAAAATTCAGAACTAAGAACAGATATAGCCCCTGGTTCTCCTCAGACTTGCCCTTGACCAGCACAAAAACATCCTGTGGCGTACTGCATTAGCATCGAACAGCCCCCGTGATATGCAACTTTTCAGGGAAGTCAGGAACCAATATACACAATCAGTTAGGAAAGCAAAGGCTAGCTTTTTCAAACAGAAATTTGCATCTTGTAGCACTAACTCCAAAAAAAATTGGGACACTAAAGTCCTTGGAAAATAAGAGCACCTCCTCCCAACTGCCCACTGCACTGAGGCTAGGAAACACTGTCATCACCGATAAATCTACAATAATCGAGAATTTCAACAAGCATTTTGCTACGGCTGGCCATGCTTTCAACCTGACTACCACTACCCCGGCCACCAGCTCTGCACCCAAATTCAGACAGCTGATGTTCTGAAAGAGCTGAAAGATCTGGACCCTACAAATCAGTTGGGCTAGACAATCTGGACCCTTTCTTTCTAAAATTAGCCGCCGAAATTGTCGCAACCCCTATTACTAGCCTTTTCAACCTCTCTTTCGTAACGTCTGAGATCCCCAGAGATTGGAAAGCTGCCGCGGTCATCCCCCTCTTCAAAGGGGGTGACACTCTAGATCCAAAATGTTACAGACCTATATCCATCCTGCCCTGCCTTTCGAAAGTATTTGAATGCCAAGTTAACAAACAGATCACCGACCATTTCGAATCCCACCGTACCTTCTCCGCTATGCAATCCGGTTTCCGAGCTGGTTATGGGTGCACCTCAGCCACGATCAAGGTCCTAAATGATATTATCACCGCGATCGATAAAAGACAGTACTGCGCAGCCGTCTTCATCAACCTGGCCAAGGCTTTCGACTCTGTCAACCACTGCATTCTTATTGGCAGACTAAATAGCCTTGGTTTCTCTAATGACTGCCTCGCCTGGTTCACCAAATACTTCTCAGATAGAGTTCAATGTGTCAAATCGGAGGGCCTGTTGTCTGGACCTCTGGCCGTCTCTATGGGGGTGCCACAGCGTTCAATTCTCGGGCCGACTGTATTCTCTGTGTATATCAATGATGTCGCTCTTGCTGCTGGTGACGCTCGGATCCACCTCTATGTGGACGACACCATTTTGGCTACATCTGGCCCTTCATTGGACACTGTGTTAACAAACCTCCAAACAAGCTTCAACGCCATACAACACTCCTTCTGTAGCCTCCAACTGCTCTTAAACACTAGTAAAACTAAATGCATGCTCTTCAACCAAACGCTGCTTGCACCCGCCCACCTGACTAGAATCACTACTCTCGGCGGGTCTGACCTAGAGTATGTGGACAACTACAAATACCTAGGTGTCTGGTTAGACTGTAAACTCTCCTTCCAGACTCACATTAAGCATCTCCAATCAAAAGTTAGATCTAGAATCGTCTTCCTATTTCACAACAAAGCCTCCTTCACTCATGCTGCCAAACATGCCCTCTTGGCAATTTCACGCCTGGAATAGCCTTCATTTCTCAGAACAAGAATAGACTGACGAGTTTCAGAAGAAAGTTATTTGTTTCTGGCCATTTTGAGCCTGTAATCGAACCCACAATTGCTGATGCTCCAGATACTCAACTAGTCTCAAGAAGGCCCGTTGTATTGCTTCTTTAATCAGCACAACAGTTTTCAGCTGTGCTAACATAATTGCAAAAGGGTTTTCTAATGATTGTTACGTTCCCCAGTTTCTATGTTGTGGTTTGTGTATTTTCATGTAGGTATTTCAGGAAATGGGTTCCTGAAATTCCTCAACAAGCAGCTGATTGATTTGAAAAACATTGATGATTGGAGAGCTGACACCGCGCCCTCGTCAGGACGCAGCTGTCTCCAATTTACCAACTCCTCCTGAAGCTATATAAGCCCCAGTTGCTCAGTAAAGGGGAACCAGAATTGCTCTTAAAGGGAGTGCTCCTAATCTCAGTTTGTTACCGGTATAAAAGACACCTGTCCACAGAAGCAATCAATCAATCAGATTCCAAACTCTCCACCATGGCCAAGACCAAAGAGCTCTCCAAGGATGTCAGGGACAAGATTGTAGACCTACACAAGGCTGGAATGGGCTACAAGACCATCGCCAAGCAGCTTGGTGAGGTGACAACAGTTGGTGCGATTATTCGCAAATGGAAGAAACACAAAATAACTGTCAATCTCCCTCAGCCTGGGGCTCCATGCAAGATCTCACCTCGTGGAGTTGCAATGATCATGAGAACGGTGAGGAATCAGCCCAGAATTACACGGGAGGATCTTGTCAATGATCTCAAGGCAGCTGGGACCATAGTCACCAAGAAAACAATTGGTAACACACTACGCCGTGAAGGACTGAAATCCTGCAGCGCCCGCAAGGTCACCCTGCTCAAGAAAGCACATATACAGGCCCATCTGAAGTTTGCCAATGAACATCTGAATGATTCAGAGGAGAACTGGGTGAAAGTGTTGTGGTCAGATGAGACCAAAATCGAGCTCTTTGGCATCAACTCAACTCGCCGTGTTTGGAGGAGGAGGAATGCTGCCTATGACCCCAAGAACACCATCCCCACCGTCAAACATGGAGGTGGAAACATTATGGTTTGGGGGTGTTTTTCTGCTAAGGGGACAGGACAACTTCACCGCATCAAAGGGACGATGGATGGGGCCATGTACCGTCAAATCTTAGGTGAGAACCTCCTTCCCTCAGCCAGGGTATTGAAAATGGGTCGTGGATGGGTATTCCAGCATGACAATGACCCAAAACACACAGCCAAGGCAACAAAGGAGTGGCTCAAGAAGAAGCACATTAAGGTCCTGGAGTGGCCTAGCCAGTCTCCAGACCTTAATACAATAGAAAATCTGTGGAGGGAGCTGAAGGTTCGAGTTGCCAAACGTCAGCCTCGAAACCTTAATGACTTGGAGAAGATCTGCAAAGAGGAGTGGGTCAAAATCCCTCCTGAGATGTGTGCAAACCTGGTGGCCAACTACAAGAAACGTCTGACCTCTGTGATTGCCAACAAGGGTTTTGCCACCAAGTACTAAGTCATGTTTTGCAGAGGGGTCAAATACTTGTTTCCCTAATTAAAATGCAAATCAATTTATAACATTTTTGACATGCGTTTTTCTGGACTTTTTTGTTGTTATTCTGTCTCTCACTGTTCACATAAACCTACCATTGTCAGTGGGCAAACGTACAAAATCAGCAGGGGATCAAATACTTTTTTCCCTCACTGTGTGTGTGTGTATATATATATATATATATATACACACTAAACAAAAATATAAAACGCAACATGTAAAGTGTTGGTCTCATGTTTCATGAGCTGAAATAAAAGATCCCAATTTTTTTTCCATATTTCTCAAACGCTGTGCACACATTTGTTTACACCCGTTAGTGACCATTTCTCCTACGCCAAGATAATTCATCCATCCACCTGACAGTTGTGGTATATCAAGAAGCTGATTAAACACCTTGTGCTGGGGACAATAAAAGGCCACTCTAAAATGTGCAGTTTTGCCACACAACACAATGCCACAGATGTCTCAAGTTTTGAGGGAGCGTGCAATTAGCATGCTGACTGCAGGAATGTCCACCAGAGCTGTTGCCAGAGAATTTAATGTTCATTTCTCTACCATAAGCCGCCTCCATCATTTTAGAGAATTTGGCAGTACGTCCAACCAGCCTCACAACCGCACACCACACGTAACCACGCCAGCCCAGGACCTCCACATCCAGCTTCTTCACTTGCAGGATTGTCTGAGACCAGCCACCCGGACAGCTGATGAAACTGTGGGTTTGCACAACCAAATAATTTCTGCACAAACTGTCAGAAACAGGGAAGCTCATCTTTTTTTTTTCTAGTGTAGGCTATTTGTACACATTTGTATTGTGCATCTGCACTGTATGACTATACAAAGAAAATCATGACAGCCAGTGTGGCCATCATTTATGGTTTAGGTTATTGATTGCTATTAATAAATGATGCTATCATCATATACCCCCACATCATCATATCTAAGCACCTACTGCAGCATTGGTTTTGTTTGCCTGCTGTGCTGTGTATCATGTGGAAACAAAGCAGATGAGAGAATCATTGACCAAATGGCCTAATCTTATCTCCAACTGTAGGTCAGAGAATGTGTGGATCAGTAGACCGCATATTACTGATTGAATCAGACACCAAATATCCCTTAACCCTCAGCCACCTTTACTTTAAGCTACTTTACAATACACTCATTAGTTATTAAGGCTGCAATTCTGTGAGGAATAGAGAAATAAAAAAGCTGAAGCACTACCAAGTGGAAGGGCTGTTGTTTGGTTAACTGTTCATGCGTTTCAAAAGAAGACACGGGAGACTTCAACTTTGCATTTCATGGAAATACAAACAAATCCTTTGCACTCTCATGTAGCTGATGTAAACTGTGGTTCTTCTCTCTTTCAAAATAGTCTATGGATTCAACTGAACTAAATGTCACATGCAGTATACTAGCACATAGGGGGGAAAAGAGATTAGTAAAAACAACATCACTCACCGTGGTGCATCATGGGGATTTCCTCATTGCCTGTACCAGGGAGGTTGTAAATAACCACACCAGCGGCTCCACTTTCAGCAGCAGCCAGGATCTTCTCAGTGAAGGTGCAGTTTCCCCTCTGAATAAGGGCTATCCATGGCTCTGAGCTATTAAAGCTAGTCTGGGGCCCACAGGCTAAGGGATCTGAAATAGGAAGCGTCACCTCTCCGGAAGCCGAGATGACAGGAGAGTGGGCCCCATATAATCCACACTCACAGCTTTGTAACACCGTTTTGTTGTCACTTGTGTTCCAGTAACGCGTTTGAATGGTAGCCATCCAAAATACCATGTTCGCCCCAGTATTTTGAGCAGTTATCAGGCAGAGCAATGTGAAAAAGACCAAGCCAAAGCAATGTGTGCCTCTCTTCCCCATTTTCCTCTCAAACACACTCGCAACGCCTGTAGTTGAGTCAAGCCCTGTCTTCCTGATCATCGGCTGCCTGGGGTGCTGTACTGTAGGCAGTAAACTGACACCTTCCTTCTCTGTAACCTAAACCAAGTCTACGTCAGTCGTGGTTTCTGTTATCTTAGTGGACCTTGCTCACTAGCTTTGCGTTTGTTTAGTCCAAGTTTACCTGTGAATGCTAGTCTGGGAAAATATTATATAACATTTACACTATCATTGATTTGACACGATTTTGTTTGTGATATTTAAGTGTTGTAATCCAACACATCATGATGTCTTCATTAGTTTCGGCCAGTGTGCTATCGAAAGTGTAAGAGGAAATGTTCTAGCAGGATTTAAAATTAGCAGTGTCAACAAACACATTACATATCAACACTACTGCTGCCATAACAGTGCACAAGATAATACATTATACAGTAGGCTTGAAACACCAAAGATCAAGCAAAATAATTTTGGAAATTCCTTTGTTTACAGCATTACAAGCTGCATAGTTCCATGTATGTTTTCCAGAGCCCATGTAGCTTGTCTTTATGATGTGGCATCAGGAAACATTAAGCATGTGAATATGGAAGACGACTTGACATAAATATTTAGTAAAAACCCCTTAAGAAAATGGTTTACGAATCCTCTTTAAAATGTGATTATTTTATTTGTTGTTGAAATTATACTTACGTTTTTTCAAAATACTCAAAACCCCAGTTTAAAAAGAGACAATTAGCTCAAAAGATATCTACAAAAGTATTTCCAGTATTTAACAATAAAACGTGTCTGGGTAATCATGTTAACAATTTGGTATTTGGCATTTTATTAGGATCCCCATTAGCTGTTGCAAAAGCAGCAGCTACTCTTCCTGGGGTCCACACAAAACATGAAACATGACATAACACAGAACATTAATAGACAAGAACAACTCAAGAAAGAATACATTAATTTCAGACAAGACAACACATACTGTGGTCCAATATCTATACCAAAGCAATGTCAGTCATTCTATACACCTTGGTGATGATAACCTCCAATTTATCTCCTCCCAGATGACAGAGGTCAAGGATACACACAAAATGGGTGTCTTTCAGCTCCTCAGCAGTTGCTAAAATCTCCTCTGAAAGAACAAAATTAAGAAAAACCAGCATACACAAATTAACTTCAGAGTATTTAAATTGTTGGAAACATTATGTATGCAAACCTCCTAAAAACAGTGTCTACATTCTACACTGAGTATACAAAACATTATGAACACCTTAACTGACCAGGTGAATATGATCCCTTATTGATGTCACTTGTTAAATCCACTTCAATCAGTGTAGATGAACGGGAGGAGACAGGTTGAAGAAGGATTTTTAAGCCTTGAGACAATTGAGACATGGATTGTGTAAGTGTGCCATTCAGAGGGTGAATGGGCAAGACAAAATATTTAAGTGCCTTTGAACAGGGTAAGGTACTAGCTGTCAAGAACTGCAACGCTGCTGGGTTTTTCACGCTCAACAGTTTCTTGTGTGTATCAAGAATGGTCCACCACCCAAAGGACATCCAGCCAACTTGACACAACTGTGGGAAGCATTGGATTCAATATGGGCCAGCATCCCTGTGGAACACTTTCAACACCAGTCCATGCCCCGACAAATTGAGGCTCTTCTGTGGGCAAGGGGGGGGGGGGGGGGGGGGGGGTGCAACTCAATATTAGGAAGGCGTTCCTAATGTTTGAGTATACTCAGTATGTAATTAATCAATGCCTAATATTATATGTGTAGACAGAATCTACCATATAAAGTTTGATTTGACCCTGTACTGTACAATGTAATCAATACTCAGTCTAGCCTCAGAAATGGACAGCGCATTTGATTTGCCATAACTGCTTTCTTAAGTGGAATCTACGTTTTAGAGTTGAAAGACCCACTTGGAGGTCAACCTTAGGAAATATGATATTGTAAAAATGCTTGTGAGCAGGTCATGAACCACGAATAGTAGTCTGCTTGAAAATAGCCTGGAGTTTCGCCTTAGCTAGAAGCAGTGCCCCATGACTTGCTCTCAGGGGTGTGCGTTTACCCTCCCCTCCTGTCCCCCTCTACCCAGTGTGTTACCTGGTTCAGGGAGAGCAACCTCACTCTGGCTCAGGGGGTCTGCGAGAGGGCAGATGAAGCCTGCAGACAGGCAGGAAAGAAGTGTGTTGTCATGGGGGTCTTGAGGTAGACCTAAGGACCTGGGGTCCCCAGATGACATCACAGGAACAAAGGCAGCATCGATGGCCATCTGCTGGTTTATACCTGCCAGAGAGAGACAATGAAAGTAGTAAAACAATGAAATTATAGACGTTTTTTTTGGTACTTTTTACCCCTTTTTTCTCCCCAATTTCGTGAAATCCAATTGGTAGTTAGTCTTGTCCCATCACTGCAACTCCCGTACGGACTACGGAGAAGCGAAGGTCGAGAGCCATGCGTCCTCCGAAACAAGACCCTGCCAAGCCGCACTGCTTCTTGACACAGCCGCACCAATTGAAGCCAGCCGCACCAATGTGTCGGAGGAAACACCGTACAACTGGCGACCGAAGTCAGCTTGCAGGCGCCTGGCCCGCCACAAGAAGGCTCACTAGAGCGCGATGGGACAAGGAAATCCCTGCCGGCCAAACCCTCCCCTAACCGGACGACGCTGGGCCAATTGTGCGCCGCCTCATAGGTCTCCCGGTCACGGCCGGCTGTGACACAGCCTGGGATTGAACCCGGGGCTGTAGTGACGCCTCAAGCACTGCGATGCAGTGCCTTAGACCGCTGCGCCACTCGGGAGGCCCTGAAATTATAGAATAAAATATAAATAAAACCACTAAGGATGTACAAAACAATCAGGGGTGAAAGATTGTATTTCTTCCCGGTACAGGACCTCCGATGTGCACAAATTATTTTTATGGGCCTAATAGTAAAGACATGTCATCTATAAAAATGTATTACCTTTTAAAAAAATGGGGCACACAACCAGGCATGTCAAACAAATCACATCTGCACACGTTGGTCCACTCTAAAATAATTCCAGCATCTAAAACAGTGCACTGTGCGACCAACATTAGATGAATGGAAAGAGATGGATGGAAATCTATTAAAACACCCCCAAAAAGTATGACATTCGGCGATTGTCATTAGGCATAATTGATTGATGTGTCCACTCACTGGTGTCTGCTTGCGTCATGGCCCGGCCAGTCATCTCTGCCTGCGCAAAATTTTACTGTTCACCTCGAATCACACCGCATTTTGGAGCTATACCACCGGGTTTTCAAGTCCATTTGCTCATTTCTCATGCGGCTGACAGGCGCTAACGATAGATTATGGTGCGATAGCCTACAGTTTTCATCTTTGATTTAATTATTGTGATAGGCTCATGTTTTACCAGCACGCGTACCGGCACTATTTATTTTGCCGGTAGTCTGTACCGGACCGGCTTACCTTCACCCCTGAAAACAATAAAAATCACAGATTAACTCCAATCAAATGAAAGAAATTACAAATAAATGCTGTACATGAGCTCTACATTACCTAATATTGTGATCTTATAGTATCCTTTGCAGGTTACTGGTGAGAGGGTGTCTGTGGTTTGCTCTGGAGTCCACCTGGCAGCATGTAGGTTACTCTGCTGCAGCAGAAGGGTCTTGTCGTCAAATCTGAATCTCTGAGAAAGGCTCTCCGAGTACACACCACCAGGATGTAAATATTCTAACACTTCTTGTCTCTGCTTCGGCCATGAGCTGCTTTCCCAGGATGTCCAATCACAGTCTGCAACTGCTCTCTCTCCAGTAGCGCCTTCACTCTGTGGAATATCTTAGAAACAAAATACAGTAGGCCTACCAGTGTCACTAACCTTGTTGTAACATCCCACATTAATGATGCGATGGCAAGTAGTTTCCATGGTTTCCAGATAAACAGTATAGTTAATATCTCAGGCTAGCCCCTGCACTACACTAGCCATGCTTAACCCATGAAGAGAGGAATAGAAGTTAGGCCACATAGATAAGTGGTGAGATAGTATGTTAATGTGGCACAACACTCTTATACCTGATGGACCTCGTTGTCCACTGGCTCTAGTTTGGTCTGGGTTTCTTTCTAGTGGACCAACTTCCTCTTCCTCTGATTCAGAATCACTCTCCTCTTCCTGTTCACCTAGCTCTTCTTCTGTTAAGCCATGGCCAGCCTCTCTGTGAACAGACAAAGCTCTCATTATAACCTGAGTTACTGGGTGGGTCCCTGATGGGCATAGAGAAATTATTACAGTGACCTGGTATGATGGAGCATAGAAGTTGATTCATTACCTTTTCTCTTGCATCCTGGCACGAGTAATATAGCATCGCTTCATCACTCTAAAAGACAACAGAAAATGATTCTAAAACATTAAAGTGAAAATATGCTAATCCAATTTCAAATGCCATAGGAAAAGGGGAGTTACCGGTACAATTTTGAATGTTTAATAGCTTACCCTTGTTTTAGGGCAGCCATACTAAACAAGTGGACCGTGGTCCGGATCCAGACCCATAACGAGGTCAATACAGACCGCGGGTCCCGACAAGATTATTATAATAATTTAACACACATAAAACATGTCATAATGTGTAGAATTGCAGGAAATTAGCTTTAAAACGGCACAATTTTTCTCCGCCCCATTTGGGGATTATTCACCTCTTCTTTGGTTGTTTTCTTTTCCTTCTGCTGGGTGAGCTCTGCACACTAGAGGACGATGTTTCCCTGTTTATCGGAGTCTCAGTCACTTCTACAGTCCTCTGATCACTGGGTGGGTCAGGTACAGTCACAACAGACTGAACCGTCTGCTGGAGAGAACCAGGCATTACATTCTAAACTTTCCTTACCAATGACAATATCAATACCTATAAAGTTCTGTACAGGCAACTGTTCTTGTTTTTTTGTCTTGTAATGCGTCCTGTTTCTTTTTCATGTAAAAAAACCAACACATCTACTTTAGAAAAATACTATAAGTGTGTTGAATTCACATGAAGTGTGTTATACATCTATGAAACCTACCTGGTCTGACAGAGTCTCCTCTGGCCATGTCACATACTGCACAGCCATGATCTGTCCTTGGATTGCCAGCCGCTTGTGCTCACGATAATGCAGACCCTCCATCTCACTCTTCAGTTCATTTGCAGCAACTAGAGGAACTTGAGCTGAGATGGGAAATACAGTGCATTCGGAAAGTATTCAGACGCCTTGACTTTTTGCACATTTAGCTATGTTTCATCCTTATTCTAAAATGGATTAAATAAAAACATTTCCTCAATCTACACACAATACCCCATAATGACAAAGCGAAAAAAAGTTTAGAATTGTTTGCAAATTTATTACAAATAAAAAACAGAAATACCTTATTTACATAAGTATTAAGACCCTTTGCTATGAGACTCGAAATTGAGCTCAGGTGCATCCTGTTTCCATTGATCATCCTTCAGATGTTTACCTGTGGTAAATTCAATTGATTGGACCTAATTTGGAAAGGCACACACCTGTCTATATAAGGTCCCACAGTTGACAGTGCATGTCAGAGCAAAAACCAAGCCATGAGGTCGAAGGAATTGTCCGTAGAGCTCTGAGACAGAATTGTGTTGAGGCACAGATCTGGGGAATAGAACCCAAAAATGTATGCAGCATTGAAGGTCCCCAACACAGGGGCCTCCATCATTCTTAAATGGAAGAAGTTTGGAACCACCAAGACTCTTCCTAGAGCTGGCTGCCTGGCCAAACTGAGCAATCGGGGGAGAAGGGCCTTGGTCAGGGAGGTGACCAAGAATCTGATGGTCACTCTGACAGAGCTCCAGAGTTCCTCTGTGGAGATGGGAGAACCTTCCAGAAGGACAACCATCTCTGCAGAACTCCACCAATCAGGCCTTAATGGTAAAGTGGCCAGACGGAAGCCACTCCTCAGTAAAAGGCACATGACAGCCTGCTTGGAGTTTGCCAAAAGTCACCTAAAGGACTCTCAGACCATGAGAAACAAGATTCTCTGGTCTGATGAAACCAAGATTGAACTCTTTGGCCTGAATGCCAAGCATCACTTCTGGAGGAAACCTGGCACCATCCCTACGGTGAAGCATGGTGGTGGCAGCATCATGCTGTGGGGATGATTTTCAGCGTTAGGGACTTGGAGACTAGTCAGGATCGAGGGAAAGATGAACATAGCAAAGTACAGAGAGATCCTTGATGAAAACCTGCTCCAGAGCACTCAGGACCTCAGACTGGGGCGAAGGTTCACCTTCCAACAGGACAACGACCCTAAGCACACAGCCAAGACAACGCAGGAGTGGCTTCGGGACAAGTCTCTGAATGTCATTGAGTGGCCCGGCCAGAGCTTGGACTTGAACCCAATCTAACATCTCTAGAGACCTGAAAATGGCTGTGCAGCAACGCTCTCCATCCAACCTGACAGAGCTTGAGAGGATCTGCAGAGAAGAATGGGAGAAACTCCCCAAATACAGGTGTGCCAAGCTTGTAGCGTCATACCTAAGACGACTCGAGGCTGTAATCGTTGCCAAAGGCCCTTCAACAAAGTACTGAGTAAAGGGTCTGAATACTTACATAAATGTGGCATTTTATTTTTTATAAATGTGCAAACATTTCTAAAACCTGTTGTTGCTTTGTCACTATGTGGTATTGTGTGTAGATTGATGAAGGAAAAAACAGTAATCAATTTTAGAATAAGGCTGTAACCTAACAAAATATGGAAAAAGTCAAGGGGTCTGAATACTTTCCAAATGCACTGTAATTATGAAAATGATTTAAATGGTGATGTCTGCTGTAGTTAAAAACAAGCATACAAAAAAAGGTGGTGCATATTACAGACAGATGTAGATCTTTCCTTCTTGAAAAAGGTTCACCTCTTTTACCTGAGCCATCTGCCACTGACTGTGTGAAAATCAGAGGGGCATGAGGGAAGCAATAATGGCCACCAACAACAGTCTTCTTCAGCATGACGCTGTCCTTCAGAGTCTTGGTCCATTGGATGAAGCTCTTCACCCTGGGGTCCGACACGTAGGGCTGGCCCTTGTGATACCCTGAGGGAAAACTACATCTGATAAAGTATAACAACTACATACTAGATCTTCACAAAGTTGCAGTGTGTTTCTCCATTTATTCCTTTTTAAATAGAGCAGTTTTACTGTTGAACTTCTGTTTCACACTGTATCGCATTTTTTGTATAAGGGGAAATTAGTTTTTATTATATATTGTATTACTTTTATTAATCTACATGTATTCTGTACTGATGAGGAAGATCTGCAAGTAAGCATTTCACTGTACTGTCGTCACACCCGCTGTATTTTGTGCATGTGACAAATAACCTTTGATTTGATCTTTTGTTTCTTTGCAAATGACAGCAGCACTTACCTGTTGTGAATATCTGTGTCTCACAGCTGCTGGTGAGGTAAGGGAGTGAGTCTTGCTCTTGACACTTCCTCATCTGAGTGCAGACCAGGTATGTCACTGCAATGGGAGAGTGCAGAGCAGGGGGAAAATAAGTACAATTAGGGGAGTTCTGTTCAGTTTACCTATGGAATTGTTGGTATTATACTAAATTTAATAGTCATATTTACTTGGGTATATCCCATTGAATATTTCTGGTTGTGAAGAAGCAAAGATCTCCAAAATGAAAGGAATATTGGATGTTCCATCCACTGCATGGACCCAGCGGTATGTCCAGTATTTTTCTGGGCCTGCAAAAGAGGGAAGAAATTATGGGCATTTGTGTTACATTTTCACATGGAATGACCTAATAGTGAGAAATAAGTGACTAGTTCAAGTGTAATGAGCAACTCTTACCTGTGTTCCCCTTATTCTTGATTCTCTCCACCCGACTCACAAAAGTTACCAAGCCAATGACATCACATGCAGAATTGCTGGCCAAGCTCTCCAGTTCTGATCTAGAAGAAAAACATTTATAAGCTAGGAATAAGTAGTTCAGGCAGATAATAAAGACTGCTTAGTAATGTTGGAAATGTTACCCAGGGAAAGGCCTTTGTTTTTACATAAAATCTCATTTCAACTGCATAATGTGGTTGTGAATTGACCTAATGGCGAACTGGTAGGAAACCTCGGGCAAGCCCCATTGAGGCGGCACACTCTTGGCTGGAACCACAGTAAGGACTGCAGTGGGATTCCGTGGATTCAGACACATTTCTGTAAGACAGGCGAAGTAAAAATTCATATTAAAATGAACAGTTTCGCAAAGTACTCAGAATCAGACAGAATGTTCACTCAAAATGACTAATCAGGAGTGTCTGCATGGCAACATACTGGTAATGTTGATTTACTAAGTTGTGAATGACTAGGTTGAGTTCAGTACCTACTGAGTGAAAGCTCTTCATTCTGTGGTTGTCTATGTGAGGTCGTGACCTGTTTTGATAGCTCTGCTTGAGGGTGTAGTTTTGGAGATAGAGCACAGTTCCAACATTCAGTCTCTGGTACCATTCTGGACACAGCTCATTCCACAGGACAAGGGACATGGTGCCACTCTGGTCTGCAACCTCAAAGTAGGCCTGGAGAATAGAGAAATAAACATAAAGAGAGGGTAAATCCTGATGAGACACTTCATACAGAATACTGACAACATTCGAAGAGATGTTAATTATAGTGTCAGGGTTGAGTAGAGAAGAGATGGTGTATTGGTCAATGGTATGGTATAGATACATGATTATACAGTGCCTTTGGTAAGTATTCAGACCCCTTGACCTTTTCCACATTTTGTTACGTTACAGCCTTATTCTAAAATTGATTAATTAAATACATATCCTCAGCAGTCTACACACAATACCCCATAATGACAAAGCGAAAACAGGTTTTTAGAAGTGTTTGCAAATCTATTACAATTGTTTTTTTGTTTTTTTTCTTCACCTTTATTTAACCAGGTAAGCCAGTTGAGAACAAGTTCTCATTTACAACTGCGACCTGGCCAAGATAAAGCAAAGCAGTGCGATTAAAAACAACACAGAGTTGCATATGGGGTAAAAAAACAAAGTCAAAAAAATACAACAGAGTGTGCAAATGTAGCAAGTTATGGAGGTAATAGGCTATAGTGCTAAATAATTATAATTATAATTAACACTGGAATGCTAGATGTGCAAGAGATTATGTGCAAAGAGAGATACTGGGGTGCAAAAGAGCAAAATAAATAACAATATAGGGATGAGGTAGTTGGGTGGGCTAATTTCAGATGGGCTGTGTACAGGTGCAGTGATCGGTAAGGTGCTCTGACAACTGATGCTTAAAGTTAGTGAGGGAGATAAGAGTCTCCAGCTTCAGAGATTTTTGCAATTATTTCCAGTCATTGGCAGCAGAGAACTGGAAGGAATGGCGGCCAAAGGAGGTGTTGGCTTTGGGGATGACCAGTGAGATATACCTGCTGGAGCGCAGACTACGGGTGGGTGCTGCTATGGTGACCAATGAGCTAAGATAAGGCGGGGATTTACCCAGCAGTGATTTATAGATGGCCTGGAGCCAGTGGGTTTGACGACGAACATGTAGTGAGGACCAGCCAACAAGAGCGTACAGGTCACAGTGGTGGGTAGTGTATGGGGCTTTGGAGACAAAACGGATGGCACTGTGATAGACTACATCCAATTTGCTGAGTAGAGTGTTGGAGGCTATTTTGTAAATGACATCGCCAAAATCAAGGATCGGTAGGATAGTCCGTTTTACGAGGGCATGTTTGGCAGCATGAGTGAAGGAGGCTTTGTTGCGAAATAGGAAGCCGATTCTAGATTTAACTTTGGATTGGAGATTCTTAATGTGAGTCTGGAAGGAGAGTTTACAGTCTAACCAGACACCTAGGTATTTGTAGTTGTCCACATACTCTAGGTCAGACCCGTCGAGAGTAGTGATTCTAGCAGCGTTCGATTGAAGAGCATGCATTTAGTTTTACTAGTGTTTAAGAGCAGTTGGAGGCTACTGAAGGAGTGTTGTATGGCATTGAAGCTCGTTTGGAGGTTTGTTAACACAGTGTCCAATGAAGGGCCAGATGTATACAAAATAAAAAACAGAAATACCTTATTTACATAAGTATTCAGACCCTTTGCTATGAGACTCGAAATTGAGTTCAGGTGCATCCTGTTTCGATTGATCATCCTTGAGATGTTTCTACAACTTGATTGGAGTCCACCTGTGGTAAATTCAATTGATTGGACATGATTTGGAAAGGCACACACCTGTCTATATAAGGTCCCACAGTTGACAGTGCATGTCAGAGCAAAAACCAAGCCATGAGGTCGAAGGAATTGTCCGTAGAGCTCCGAGACAGGATTGTGTCGAGGCACAGATCTGGAGCGACTTACAGTTAGTGAGTGCATACGTTTTTCATATATATATATATATGAGCGGCGCAGTGGTCTAAGGCACTGCATCGCAGTGCTAACTGTGCCACTAGAGATCCTGGTTCGAATCCAGGCTCTGTTGCAGCCGGCCGCGACCGGGAGACTCATGGGCGGCGCACAATTGGCCCAGCGTCGTCCAGGGTAGGGGAGGGAATGGCCGGCAGGGATGTAGCTCAGTTGATAGAGCATGGCGTTTGCAACGCCAGGGTTGTGGGTTCGATTCCCACGGGGGGCCAGTATAAAATAAAATAAATGTATTCACTAACTGCAAGTCGCTCTGGATAAGAGCGTCTGCTAAATGACTAAAATGTAAAAAAATTAAAAAATCCTGTTTTTGTTTGTCATTATGGGGTATTGTGTGTAGATTGATGGGGAAAACACATTTTAATCAATTTTAGAATAAGGCTGTAACATTACAAAATGTGGAAAAAGTCAAGGGGTCTGAATACTTTCCGAAGGCACTGTATGTTTATGCCTCACCTGGTATGGGTAATCAATCTTGAGTCCAGGTTTTCCATAATACCGCAGTCTGGATTTATGAATCACCCTCACTATCAGGGGTAGAGGTCGAAACATGCATCCGAGAGACGACTCTAGATCACACAGGAGGGTCATCTTTGACACTGTTGAAGACATAACATCTTATCACAATTTCTGTGGGAGGTTGTAGTTTCTCACAAAAGTCAGCAACTGAAATTCTCATCTTACCATCCAGCACCACGTCTGATGGGGGGACATCTGGAACCCATACTCTGCCTTCAGGATCCTCGTTATTCCAAAGAGACAGGTAATGCTTACGGCCCACCTGCAGGGGTGAATCACTTTGCAATGCCACAATGTTTCCAAAGCCATCCTTTGAAAGCATGGGGAGGGAATCCAAGTCCTTAATCTTGCGCAACACATTAGACTCCTTTGAACCATGTTCAATCTTCTCGATGCAAACACAACCCTGACCCAATCTTCTCTCATTGTAAACAAACGAGCACTGGGTGATGTTGATATCAATTCCACTGCGAATAATGTTTTTGTGGATCAGATTATTTAAACTACGGTCAAGAATGCACTTGGCCTGCCAGACTCCATCAGTCACTGTCATGTCATAGCTGTAGCTGTCAGGAGGTTGTTGTTGTTGTCTAACATTTTGTTGTTCTGTCAAATATCTCTGAAGTCCAATGACAGCTACAGCATCAGTTTTGTCCATTTTAAGTGTAAGTGTTTTTGCAGTAAAGAACTGTTCCAAAGTAGAATGTAAGAAAGAATTAGGATTATTTCCAGTCAATGGATCGGAACAAGCCGATATGTTTTCAACTTCTTCGGGCATCATTAATGCGCAACAGGCCATGCACTGGGGAAAACGGGGTTGTTTACAACTAGCTAGCTAGCTTGCATGTATGCCTTGGCTAACAAAGTAGCTAGCTAACTTTAGCTCTGTAAACAAAGATTTTAAACAGCCGTTTGCTGACCACGCAAACAAGCGTTAACCATCAACCTAGTGCTAGCTGTATCGGTCTTGCCAAATCCAATAATATAGATAGCTTTATCTTGCAAAAAAACTATAGTAGCTAACTTTAGATACTTAGTTAGCTAACTCAGCTGTTGGCCAGTCAGCTAACTAAAGCGTTAGCATGCTAATGACGTTCCTGATGAACAACAATGAACAGTATCCGTTCTTCCGTTTTATGACTAGTTGACTAGCTAGCTAGTTTTTTACTTACAAAGGATGAGAAAGTCACGACAAGTTGGTTGGAAACATTGTAGCTAGCTAGTTACAGCATCTCAGAGAGTTCCGCTTTTGCTTCGGCGGCAGTGGATTTGAATTTTGGAAGCGGTTATTCCGCACATCGAAGCAGTGCTGGAATGCCCCAGTGACGCACACAGTGCTTTGCATATATATTATGAAGGCTGGCTACACATTTATTAACAGGACTTCTTTCACAGAATTACATCAGAGAAAATCATCTTCAATTGCACATTAACGCATTCATGTCCATAACATAAATGTATAATTTATTTTGGTACAATTGTTCTCTGAGTTTACTGATGGACAAATCTGAATACTTTTTATAAATCGGCCAACGGGTTTGTATGCAATGAGTTTTTGATATTGTACTATACTGAACAAAAATCTAAACGCAACAATTTCAAAGATTTTACTGAGTTACAGTTCATATAAAGAAATCAGTAAATGAATTTGGCCCTAATCTATAGATGTCACATGATTGGGAATATATGCATCTGTTGGTCACAGATACCTTTAAAAAAAGGTAGGGGCGTGGATTAGAAAACCAGTCAGTATCTGGTGTGATCACCAATTGCCTCAGGCAGCACAACACATCTTTGTCGCATAGAGTTGATCAGGCTGTTGATTGTGGCCTCTTCAATGGCTGTGCGAAGTTGCCGGATATTGGCGGGAAGTGGAACACACGTCAATCCAGAGCATTCCAAACATGCTCAATGGGTGACATGTCTGGTGAGTATGCAGGCCATGGAAGAACTGGGACATTTTCAGCTTCCAGGAAATGTGTACAGATCCTTGCGACATGGGGCCTTGCATTATCATGCTGAAACATGAGGTGATGGCGGTGGATGAATGGCACAACAATTGGCCACAGGAGTTTGTTTACATGGTTTCTCTGTGCATTCAAATTGCCATCAATAAAATGCAACTGTGTTCGTTGTCTGTAGCTCATGCCTGCCCATACCATAACCCCACCACCACCATGGGGCACTCTGTTCACAACCTTAACATCAGAAAATCGCTCACCCACATGATGCCATACATGTGGTGCGGTTGTGAGGCCAGTGGATGGTACTGCCAAATTATCTAAAATGACGTTGGAGGCGGCTTATGGTAGAGAAATTAATATTCAATTATCCTGCAGTCAGTATGCCAATTGCACGCGCCTTCAAAACTTGAAACATCTGTGGCATTGTGTTGTGTAACAAAACTGCAAATTTTAGAGTGGCCTTTTATTGTCCCAAGCACAAGGTGCACCTGTGTAATGATCATGCTGTTTAATCAGCTTCTTGATATGCCACACCTGTCAGGTGGATGGATGCTCACTAACAGGGACGTAAACAAATGTGTGCACAACATTTGAGAGAAAAGCTTTTTGTGCATATAGAACATTTCTGGGATCATTTATTTCAGCTCATGAAACATGGGACCAACACTTTACATGTTGCATTTATATTTTTTGTTAGGTGTATATTTAGTACTTGGACACATGGGGTTACTGTTTTTTTTTTACACGTTTCATGAATCAAGACATGTGAAGTAAGTGTTCAAATGATCAGATAATAATTTTTGGTAAACAGATTGTGTGTATATATATATATATATATATATATATATATATATATATATATATATATATATATATATACACACAATCTAAAGAAATCCTCTGTCTCTCTCTCACTCACCCCTGAAGTATATGCAGTATAAACAAATCCAATGGAGATTGGAGAGAGAGAGAGAGAGAGTATGGAGGTAAAATTGTGACTTAATTATACAAGCATGTAAAGTATGATTTGCACATGTAAAATATGAGTTGCACCTGTATACTGAGTTTTGTAGTTGCAAAACATATTTGCAAACATGTAACTTACTTTGAGAATAAATGCAACAACACTTGCAAGCGCATAACGTGATGTGTGAATAAACACAACACTTGCAAGCATATCAATTGATTTGTGAATAAATTCAATAAGATTAGCAAGCATGCAACTACATTTCAGAATGAATGACACTCATTTACTAAACTTGCGACTGGTGAATCTTCTGTGAATCAAAACTACATTTGGCGATGTCGAATCTGTGCGCTCAGAGTTTTGGCGCTAATTTTGCAACTAACCTGTGCCAAAAGTTTTGCAGTTGTAAAAAAAAATTCTGCAAGCAAGCCGCACAGAAAAACACTAGCTCTGGTGGACACGGCTTTTTCTTCCGACCAATCAGGTGAGGTGTTGTCATTCTTGAACGTGCTTTCACGTTTTACAAGGTTCCGGTCTGGAAGCACGTTTCCACTGACTGTGCTAAATATGGATAACATTTGTTGAAAAGGTGTTGGTTTGGAAGATGAAGGGAAGAATTCAAACGAGTGTTTCCACATAGCATAACCGCTACAAAACGTATGCTAGCTAGCTAGCCTCTTCTATTGGCATTACATGACTGGTTAGTTAGTTAGCTAGCATTAAATACTTCTGGCTAGCCTGTATCTAGTGGTTCTTACGTTGTGTATCAGAGCAATAGGTCTAGCTATGTACTTGTCATTTGGTTGAGACTAACACTAGTTTAGAAAATAATTGTTTGCTCTGTGTATATTTGGTGTGTAGTTGGTTGGCTTTGCTAGTTAGCAAGCTGAGATATCTGCTCAAGTTGGCTAACGTTAGTTAGCTTGCTAATAATATTTTGAGGAGAACAGGCTACCTCCCTTTATAATCAAGACAAGAGAGGATGGGGAAGAAGATTAGATGTGCAGTTGCTTCATCTGGCTGGTGCAATGCCCAGGCGAGATGAGAGCTAACTGCCATGAGATACTTTTGTATATATAGTGTATGTGGACACCCTGTGGAAAGAATTGAGCAGACAGCCATGCAGTCTCCATAGACAAACATTGGCAGTAGAATGGCCTTATTGAAGAGCTTAGTGACCAGGCGAGATGAGAGCTAACTGCTACGAGATGAAAAGGTGAGATCTCAGATTCTATCTTGATTCCTGATTAACATGATCCTGTGGGTGGAGGGCTTCTTGGCAGCAATCCCCTTCGGCACGCTGGTGGCCAAACCACAAAGCCATGATGGCCACCAGCGTGCTGAAGGGGATGGCTGCCAAGAAGCCCTCCACCCACAGGAGCATGTTAATCAGGAAGAAGTCTGCAAACAAAATCCTGAGAGGGAGGGGAGAGAAAAGGTGTGTGGGAGGACAGGACAGTGAATATCTCAATGGAAAGATGTCAGGTCCCACCAGTCAATATCATTTGATTCATTATGATCTAAAAGTAAAAACTGATCCTAGATCAACACTCCTACTTTAAGACGTTTTTTGAATACGGGTCCAGATAAGACAAGTTGACCCTAGCCCCCCCGGCACATAAACTATTGCAGAATAATTACTGGGGACTGAGACGGGGGTTGGGAGACACTGTGGCCCTGGACAGGACCAGTCAGGAAGGAGCTTACCCAACCACTCTGAGGCAGTGGTTGTGTGGCTAGCAGAGATGTGCTTGGCAGATCTGAAATGATCTGAAAAATCTGATGATTTGTACAACTTGAGACAGATAGCAATACATTACAAATATATTAAAACATAACATGGAATGTAACACAAATACAGATGATGTGCATGGTGTTAACAAACCTCCAAACGAGCTTCAATGCCATACAACACTCCTTCAGTAGCCTCCAACTGCTCTTAAACACTAGTAAAACTAAATGCATGCTCTTCAATCCAACGCTGCTGGCACCCGCCCACCCGACTAGAATCACCACTCTCGACGGGTCTGACCTAGAGTATGTGGACAACTACAAATACCTAGGTGTCTGGTTAGACCGTAAACTCTCCTTCCAGACTCACATTAAGAATCTCCAATCCAAAGTTAAATCTAGAATTGGCTTCCTATTTCGCAACAAAGCCTCCTTCACTCATGCTGCCAAACATGCCCTCGTAAAACGGACTATCCTACCGATCCTTGACTTCGGCGATGTCATTTACAAAATAGCCTCCAACACTCTACTCAGCAAATTGGATGTAGTCTATCACAGTGCCATCCGTTTTGTCTCCAAAGCCACATACACTACCCACCACTGTGACCTGTACGCTCTTGTTGGCTGGTCCTCACTATATGTTCGTCGTCAAACCCACTGGCTCCAGGCCATCTATAAATCACTGCTAGGCAAATCCCCGCCTTATCTTAGCTCATTGGTCACCATAGCAGCACCCACCCGTAGTCTGCGCTCCAGCAGGTATATCTCACTGGTCATTCCCAAAGCCAACACCTCCTTTGGCCGCCATTCCTTCCAGTTCTCTGCTGCCAATGACTGGAACGAATTGCAAAAATCTCTGAAGCTGGAGACTCTTATCTCCCTCACTAACTTTAAGCATCAGTTGTCAGAGCACCTTACCGATCACTGCACCTGTACACAGCCCATCTGAAATTAGCCCACCCAACTACCTCATCCCTATATTGTTATTTATTTTGCTCTTTTGCACCCCAGTATCTCTATTTGCACATAATCTCTTGCACATCTAGCATTCCAGTGTTAATACTAATTGTAATTATTTTGCACTATAGCCTATTTATTGCCTTACCTCCATAACTTGCTACATTTGCACACACTGTATATATATTTTCTGTTGTATTTTTTGACTTTATGTTTTTTTACCCCATATGTAACTCTGTGTTGTTGTTTTTATCGCACTGCTATGCTTTATCTTGGCCAGGTCGCAGTTGTAAATGAGAACTTGTTCTCAACTGGCTTACCTGGTTAAATAAAGTTTAAATAAATAAAAAATAAATAAATAAATAAATTATTACAATTACTACAGATAGCTAGCTCTATCAATGCTTTTCCTGAAAATGTTTATCTGATATTATAGCTAGCTAGTTGATGTTGTTCTATCTAGCTCACCCAAAGCAGGCTTTTCTCCTCCTCGCTGGTCTGCAGACTACATGATCCTGATGTTGTGGCTGTAACATTTAACAGACAATAGAACAACAACAACAACAACAACTAGCTAACTATATCAGATAGAAATTTTTAGGAAAAGCAGCTCATATAGCAAGCCAATAAAATGAATATCATTGCAATGGTTCGACATTGACATCTAGCTAGCTAATCAAGATAAAAAGGTGAGATCTTTCAGATT